GGGGGGAGGCTTCAGGGTTCGGGGGTGCAACACTTAGATTATATCTGTTTATGAAAGAGTCTGGAACAGATCATATCAGAATAGGACAAGGAAAGTAAAATAACTTACACAGATAAGACGTTCATAGAAAAGAAAAAAATCAGAATGAGAGAAAATGGGGGAACAGACACAGAAATGGGACGGTGTGTTAGAATGTTTAGCGAGTTTCACATATGTGATTATAAGCATTTTTCCACACATCTATTTCTTATTTTGTTTTTTACAACATATGTAATTATAAGTATAGAATCTTCGGATAAACAATCAATGTAAATATGTGCTATGATTAAGGAATCTAAGATGCCGCACATATTTCCTACATCCTCTATGGTTGGATCCTCGGCGATTTGTGATATTGATTCGGTTTAACTATTTTAAGAAACAGCAAATCAACAATTTTAACGTCACAATGCTTTCTGCAAAATGTAGTACTTACCTACGTATACATTTTTTCCCTATTTTTCTCATGTTTTATGAGTAAAGTATTTTTTCCCGGCTTATATATCAATTAAGGAATTTTATTTCGATGTGTATGTGGTTATATGGACATGACAAAGTTGTTGATAATATAATATAATATATATTGATAAATATAAATTGACAAAAGACAGGGTTAATGCAACATAATGTAGTTTTTCCAATTTCTTCCATTCGTAATTTAACGTAAATAATAATATATCACCTTTACAAAAAGTAATATATATCTTAGAATGTAATAGGTGTCCTTGATCAAGTTCTCTACAGCGTGCAAGGACATTCACGTTTGCAAACATATAAACTTTAATATCAAAATATTGTTTCCTAATTGGATTTATGATATTATTAATCCTTCTATTGATACGTAAAATAATGCGAGGATGAAGGTTTCCTTGTTAAAAGAAAATGCGGATTATCATTGTTTCGAGAACGGATTTAAAAAATGTAAAAAATAAAAATAAATTGTAATCCCTTACATTACCATAATTTGTGAATTGATAACAATAGAACTTCTATTTCTTTCCTTTCCCGCCAACACAATCTTTTTTTCGCGTTGTCTTAAATAATTATTTAGATAAATAAATCAACACCTCTATTTCATGTATTTCGTATCTGCTCTTTCTTTTTGGCGTTGTCTTAAATAAATATATAAACAGCTAAATAAATGTCACCCTGGTAAAGTACTAGCTGCTTCCTACCGACTAGGTTAGGGATAATTTCTCTAAGGTTATTCGGTAGAGTGTAAGACTAGTAAACCAGAGGTCCCGGGTTCGACTCCTAGCGGAGGCATTGCAATAATGATGACCTCTGTTAAATGAATAAAATTAAAAGAACGAATAAATGAATGAATGAGCACATTTATTTATTTCATTTCCTGTCTGCTCTCCAATGGGGTAAATAAATAAACAAATAGATAAATACAAATTCACACTGTATCTACAAAACATTTTAAATAATATCTTTTTAATTAAAATAGGCTGTAGCCACTTGATCACCATGGACATAGCTGACGTCATAGGATTTCACCGTGAGGTAGTTTCCCGCCATATCGAAGTGACAATTGGTGTTTTTCCGGACCAAGAAACAGGTTGTCAAAACGGCGAGGTCAAACTCCGGACTGGTACCGACCAGAAGGGTGGTCAAGGGTTTGGGTTTATTATACCAAGTAAAGTGAACACCCAACTTCCGGGGCTGCGGAACAAACAAACAAATCAACATTACAAACAACTTCCGGGGTTGTGGAAAAATGAATAGATCAACATTACCATCAACTGCCGGGGCTGTGGAACAAACGAAAAAATCAACATCACCACCAACTTCCGGGGCTGTGGAACAAACGAAAACATCAACATCACCACCAACTTCCCGGGGTTGTGCAACAAACGGTAAAAATCCAATATTACCATCCAACTTCCCGGGCCTGTGGAACAAACGGAAAAATCAACATTACCATCAACTTCCGGGGCTGCGGAACAAACTTAAAGATCAACATTATCATCAAATTCCAGGACTATGGAACAAATGAACAAAACAATATTACCATCAACTTCCGGGGCTATGGAACAAATGAACAAATCAACATTACCATCAACATCCGGGGCTATGGAAAAACGAACAAATCAACATCAAATACAACATCCGGGGCTATGGAACAAACGAAAAAATCAACATTTCTATCAACTTCCGGGGCTGTCGAAAAAACGAACAAATCAACATTACCATTAACTTCCGGGACTGTGGAACAAACGAAAAAATCAACATTACCATCTACTCCCGGGGCTGTGGAACAAACGGGAAAATAAACATAACCATCAACTTCCGGGACTGTGGAACAAACGAACAAATCAACATTACCATTAACCTCCGGGACTGTGGAACAAACGAGAAAATAAACATAACCATCAACTTCCGGGACTGTGGAACAAACGGGAAAATAAACATTACCATTAACTTCCGGGGCTGTGGAACATACGGAAAGATCAACATTACCATCAATTTCCGGGGCTGTGGAACAAACGGGAAAATCAACATCACCATCAACCATCGTGCCTGTGGAACAAACGGAAAAATCAACTTTACCATCAACTTCCAGGGATGTCGATGTGGACCAAACGACAAAATCATCATTACCATCAAGTTCCGGGGTTGTGGAACATACGGAAAGATCAACATTACCATCAACTGCCGGGGCTGTGGAAAGACGAACAAATAAACATTGCAATCAACTTCCAGGGCTGTGAAAAAACGAACGAATCAACATTAACATCAACTTCCAGGGCTGTGGAACAAACGGAAGGATCAATATTATCATCAACTTCTGTGGGTGTGGAACAAACGGAAAAATCAACATTACGATCAACTTCCGGGGCGGGGCTGTGGAACAAACGGAAAAATCAACATTACCATTAACTTCCGGGGCTGTGGAACATACGGAAAGATCAACATTACCATCAATTTCCGGGGCTGTGGAAAGAAGAACAAATCAACATTACCATCAACTTCCGGGGCTGTGGAACAAACGATCAAATCAACATCACAATTAACTTCCCGGGCTAGGGAACAAACGGAAAAATCAACATTACGATCAACTTCAGGGGCTAGGGAACAAACGAAAAAAAATCAACATTACGATCAACTTACGGGGCTGTGGAACATACGGAAAGATCAACATTACCATCAATTTCCGGGGCTGTGGAAAGAAGAACAAATCAACATTACCATCAACTTCCGGGGCTGTGGAACAAACGATCAAATCAACATCACAATTAACTTCCCGGGCTAGGGAACAAACGGAAAAATCAACATTACGATCAACTTCAGGGGCTAGGGAACAAACGAAAAAAAATCAACATTACGATCAACTTACGGGGCTGTGGAACATACGGAAAGATCAACATTACCATCAATTTCCGGGGCTGTGGAAAGAAGAACAAATCAACATTACCATCAACTTCCGGGGCTGTGGAACAAACGATCAAATCAACATCACAATTAACTTCCCGGGCTAGGGAACAAACGGAAAAATCAACATTACGATCAACTTCAGGGGCTAGGGAACAAACGAAAAAAATCAACATTACGATCAACTTCCGGGGCTGTGATACAAAAAGAAAGATCAACATTACCATCAATTTCCGGGGCTGTGGAACAAACGGAAGAAGCAACATTACCATCAACTTCCGGGGTTGTGGAAAAAACGGAAACATCAACATTGCCATCAACTGCCGGGGCTGTGGAACAAATTAAAAAATCAACATTACAATCAACTTCCGGGGCTGCGAAACAAACGGAAAAAATACCATTACCATCACATTTCGGGGCTGTGGAACAAACGAAAAAAATCAACATTACCATAGAATTCCCGAGTTATGGAACAGGCGGGAAAATCAACATTACCATAAACTTCCGAGGCTGTGGAACAAACGGGAAAATCAACATTATTATCAACTTCCGGGACTGTGGATCAAACGGAAATATCAACGTTCAAACAGACAAAACAAGTTTTTCCCAAACTTCCGTTACTCTCTAACAAACAGAGACATCAACATTATTTTCAACTTTCGAGGCTGTAGACCAAACGGAAATATCAACATTATTTTCAACTTCCGAGATGTTATACCGAAAAGACATACCAACTTTCTACCTTAAGCAGTTTAAATAAATTAAGAGGATCATAATTGAGACAAGGATATCAAATACAAAGATAGAGTCCATTTCATAACTCGATTTGTCTGCTCGTAGGTATACGTGAAATCGAAGTTACCTGATTGGAGTAGATGTAGCCAAGATAATTGATGTGCCCTAGTTTCTCCTCGAGGTAGAATTGAATCCAGTTATGGAAACCGGAAACATCTGTGCTAGTTGTCTCTCCGACGAACACGTGCTCGAATCCGTTACTTCCGTGGGAAGTTCCGGATCGAGAATACTGGGTAAACCATATGCTCTTTAACGTATCCCGGAAGGCGGTCGTTGATGTGGTGTAGCCTTATAATAAATAGGTCAAACATATTGTAAAGACAAACTTTAAGTTAATTACAACCGCTAAATACTAAATTGCAATACATATTCAATAAAACCCCGCTAACTCGAACTCGTACGGGGTATTCAAGGAATATACAAAGAATATGTACGAACTCGGTCGGGACCAAACGAACTGTTCGACGAATGAGGGGTAACCGAGTAAACGAGAAATCGAGTAAATCGAGTTCGAGGAAGTGGGGTTTTACTGTATGTATATATTCCACTTCACCTAGATGTATTACACGGCAGCATAATTTTATGGGTCAATAATTAGAATATTTACAATTCTTTTTTTTTAGATACTCATTTATTATGTAATACTAAGAGGTCTAGGGGGTATGTATTCTACAAATTACATTTAATGTTGAAATGATCGTCTTAGCCAATCAAGAGACAATACCAGTTATAATTATTAGATTCATTAATTATTTGGCCGATCTTGTTTATCAAGGTTAGAGTACCGTCTACTGATACGTTACTAATATGATCTTTGGTCCTTAAATTGGACACACTTTTTGAAACTGGCAACATTGGTGTAATGTGTAATGTTTAGATTCTGAGTTCGAGCCTTGCAATGTTTATGGTTTTGTTTTGTTTTTGTTTTATCTTTTCAAATAATCAAATTTCTAACAACATGTATGGTAACATGTGATTTTCATGGAATGTGTCTTTTGAAAGGTAACAATGGTAATAATATGATCTGACTTGTTGGTACAGTTTACCTTAATGAATGTTTTATTGCTCTGTCGGAATGCAATACAACTCTCCAGTTACCTTTGCCATGCAGAAATCTATAAGTTTCCGACATCACCGAAGTTTTCATCACTTCCGTAATGAATCGGTCAATTTCGGCAGTTTCCGTCGATGACGTATGCTCCGAATGAGCTGTGTTTTTGTCGAAGTTGTCAAGCAAGGCGATGAAAGCGGAGTACGTAGGTTTCGTAAAGAGATGGTTCTCATTAACATAGTGGAACAATCTGCAACGAATTCACATACAACATCATTTTAGTATTTGTTTAATATCTAAATTTATATTATATTCACGAGACGATATTATCGCAGTTTTCATGCTAAGGAATTTCAACAGAAATCTGAGAAAGGACAGAAATACTCTTATCGCAGGCGACGGCCATATATAATATTGAATCTAAAACGAGGCTGAGGGCGCGGAAAAATGACTTCCAGTTATATCAGTCTTCCCAAATTAAGACCCCCACTCACTTTCATCCGAGCCAAAAAGAGGGTTTTATGATTCATCATTGTTGTAAAGTAATAAAGTGTATATTTAACATTTAAAATGGGTATTGTACGGCATGAACATAGATTATTGTGACCTCAATGAAATTATATGGGTTCATTCGGTCACATGAACGAGAGTATTTACCGTCATGCCTGATACACTACCAGATGCATATGTATAGCGATCTATTCAAAGACCATTTCTCCGTTAACAATAATTTTAGATTAACTTTGACGCCAGGAGATGAAGAATATGTTAACAATGTTTAAAACATACCCTCTGCTTGTTAAATCCCGTGCATGTATAGACAAACAGGCTACAGGTGTTAGATAGACCACAGGGACCTGATATTTTGTTACCGCTATATTTGGATCTAAAGTAAGGTGTTCAGCGTAATTTTACATGTTTTAGGGAGAAAATCCCTATGATAAAGACTACCCAATTTGTTATTCTAACTTAGACAATGAGCATTGTCTCAATCAAATTCAAACCAAACAATAACTTACGGAGTACGATTTGTGTATACGCAATATTCCCGATTGATATCATCTGACAGCTGTCACAACAATATACTGCATGTTCAACAAAAGGAAAGAAATCAGTCGACATCTCTTTTATAAAGAATGTGATATTTATACATTTCAGTTCAAAATGACCAATCTGCGATTCCGACAATGGAAATTGAAATTCAGCCTATTTTGACAAGGTTTTGCACAGTGGTTTTAGCAACCATAAACAACTAATTTGAACAAACTTTATATTTCCCCTTAAGACGTATTGGTTACGCCAACACATTTCCATCTGATGTTAAGTTTTGTTCAAGCAGATGCGTTCTGTAGTTTCTGAGAGTAAACTGTACGTGGTTTGAAAGTTCAAGGGGAGGTTTTCAGTATGTATGGATTTGTGTGAGGTCGAAGCCATACAAAGTCCTTCATCTTATATGTACGACTTATATTAAGGCTCCACTGACTCCGAGCCGCGATCTCAAATGAAGTGATGAACAATTAAACAGCAGAACGTCATGAACATTAATAATCCCCCCCCCCCCCCCCCCAAGACCACTCTCTATCTCTTGTTTATATTCATATAAACGCGTGTGAGTGGGTGTGCGTGTGTGTGTGGTGTGAGAATGAGTGAACGCATGTAAAACAACTTTTATTTAGCTACATTTTTCATAAAGTATTTTTTTGGTGCGCCATCTTGTAATTTTGTTGTATTTTTAGTGTATTTTTTTATGGAAATGCCTTTATATCAGTTGTATAACTTGTGCCCAACCATGCTGTATTATGGCAATAACATATGTTTAAATCAACAAAATAAATCTGCGAAACAAAATAAGCGACCCTGCCTGCGTCATTCATCACAAGACTGGTGTTTTCATATGACAACATGGGACGATATAACTGACCAATCAAAAGTCGTGTTCCTCACCTGTTATTGGCGAGGTCCGCGGATGATGAGCTCGACGTATGTGATTGGAGGTTGTATGTGATGTCAGAGAAGGAGGCGCCATTGGTGTCGTCGTTCCATATCCCAGTGACAAAGGCCGATAACTCTGTATTGGAAACGCTACCCAGTACGAAAGAAGAAGCTATGAAATCAGAAAACAAAATGGCTGCTTCAATAAAGATCTTTTTGGCGATCACTATGTATACATATATGTGACAAAAATCCTTAAATGGTTAATGTTTTCTTGCAATTAAACGTTATTATAACAGGCACTTATACGATAAAAATAACTTCTCCCTTTTCTTTAAAATATTGCACTTCAGCAGGGCCATAACTAATCACGAAGGGCCTGCTCGATTGCAAACCCCGAGCATCCTGCGGCCGGCCGGAAAGGCGGGGGTTCGGCTCGATTGGAGCTGGCCAAAAAATATTTTATTGGAAATAAAGATTTACAATTTTTCACAATCCTTTTCTCCAAATACATGTATAAAAACAATAACTTGATAAGGCAATTTACGCAATAAATAGAAAATAGAGAGAAGAAAAGACGGAGAGAGAAACGAAGTAAAGGATTGTAAAACAGGCAGAGTAGAAGAAAACAACCGGCTGCATTTGCTTATGTAATTTTGAACAGCTTTTGCAATTGAGGTATTTTCATCTTTGCTGAATTTAAGATCGCCATATAGGAGCAAGTCTAAAGTTAGATTTCGCTGTTGGGTGTATTCCGTCTTTGCGTATTGCTGAGTTATCTTCTCTTTGGAGCAGGTATTGATTGCTACGTCACTTGTTTGTGAGAATAACGTCATCAATTTTTGAGAAAACGACGTAATTTTCTCACACAAACCAATGACGTAACAATCAATACCTGCTCCCAAGAGAAGATAACTCTGCAATACGCAAAGACGGAATAGGTGATATACACAGAGGAAGTGATAAGAGTCTTCACATGGATTACCGCATGCCCATTCAGTTGTATTATTTAAATTTGCTCTTAATAGGTCATAGTTAAGAGAGCTGGCACGGTTTCTCAAACGGCAATGAAGTATATTTAGTTTACGAGAACCCAATGCCAGAAAGCATTTATTGTGTATTTCCCCTTTTAACTTTATATTTGTTTTAAATGAACTGAGAGTAGCCGAATTCCTTATAGATATATCTAGGTAATTCCAGATTTTTGTAGTTGATGGGAAAACAGAATTGCGCATAGGTTCAAGCCTCAAGTTTGGTTGTCTTAAATGTTGGGAATGGTTTCGGTTATAACGGCAAATATCCCCAATGCTATCTGGTATGGTGTCACACAAATAATTTGGAGCAGTACCGTTTTTAATTGATACTTGTCTGTGCTTCCGTCTAGTTCTTAGTGGGACCCAGCCAATTTCATTAAATATATGTTCGAATTTTTGTGTATATGGGTAGTCCTGTAACAATTCGTGCAGCGTCTATCTGAATTGGAGCAAATGCTTTTGAAAAGATGTCGAACATTTCATAACGTAAATAAACTTTAGCAATCTACATTTCGCCGGCTCAAATTTAAAATCCTTCATCACGAACTCTACAACATTTAAATGGTACATGTATATACATATATTGATGCTATGTTGAATAGAGCGCTTGATTGGAATACTAGCCGGTCAGATACCGGCGTAAATCGGTTTCTACCGAGCTGTCGACTTGAATCGACTTTTCCGTTTTTGCGTATTTGAGAGTTATCTTCTCTTGTGAGCAGGTATTGATCGTTACGTCATTGGTTTGTGTGAGAAAATTACGTCGTTTTCTCAAAAATTGATGACGTTACTCTCACAAACAAATGACGTAACAATCAAGGACGCCCTATTATTGATATGTTGCCTTGCTCAAGTCAATATTTGAAAGAAGTTAAACAGAAATGGCAAACGATTAATGAAGATGTGGTCACTAAAACCTAAGTTTCGAGAGGCATTCAAGTCCACTTAATGCATGTCATTTTCTCGGCGTACACAGGGAAGTAACTCTGCTAGATGATACAATGTACGTAGCTTTATATGCAAAACGGGTCTCTCTAAGTCTTATGACGTTTTAATTGCAACGCAGAATATTTATCTTTATATAATTATANCCATCCCCTGTATATCGCCATCCGCCAACCATTTTTAAATACAGAACTGTTTTATCCCCCGACCATATCGCCATTGTTTACGTTTTTGGTCCGGAAATTGGTTAATGATCGTTAATGATTCAGTCATGCGTGTATAATCCACGTGTACAGGTAAACGTGTATGTATACAATATATCACGTGGTGTGTATGACGTACGTCTCTCTAGTCATTAATAACCGGATGAACCATAAATAAGTAAACAATGGGTTAATACGTACATGGTTAGGGATAAAACAAAACGAAATCAAAGCATAGAAGAGTATAGGAAACAGACATAAAAGTATGTTCAAATACTTACAGTGAAGATAAAGGCTGATTAGGATCAAAATAGAACTGTTACGGCCGGCCATCTTTGGAACAGCACGCGGGGCGTATCTAAATATGCGTGACCCTGTAATCTTATCAGTTCTCCTTGAAATATACATGTACGGTAAGGATGCCCAATCGCCGTTTTCCGTCCCATACACGGAAATTGCCGAGCGTGTCCCGATTGAGTTTAATCCTAGTGCCACAAGGAACTCGTATAATGCAACCCTGTCGATTTTTCTGCCAGTCCAATTGTATCCTTAGTTACTTTCCCAATGCTGTTGACCCGGTCATAACAAGTTTTAATTTGTATTTTGAGTTGCAATCAAGGATTTGGTAGAACTAGGCACAAGGCTTTATGACAAAACTTTATAGATATATCATAGTATGTTTTAAAGTTAAAATATCTACATAACGGTTCAAACTTAAATTTGTGTTTTGATAAAATTTATGCGCCATTATACGAGTCCCTGTCTGTTGTAAAATTAACAAAACGGTATAAATTGAAATGCGTTTTCTCTAAATAATGTGTCCTTATACGACCCCGTCAATTAAGAAATTAATTTATTACATTTTTGCCAGTGAAATATCGGATTTTATCACCTTGATAAAACTGATATCATTCACACTGTGATAAATATCAAAAGTGATATTTTCACTGTGAAAATATCACTTTTTGGTATTGACCAATCATAACGGTATCTTCTATTCGCTGCATTCAAAGGCAACGATTTTTTGTTCAGATTCAAATGAAGCGACGGTAGAATAAGTGGTTCTTATGGTAAATGTTTGGTATACACACTTCAGTTTTTTTACATAAATAAACAATTAATAACATTTTTATAAGCAATCATACCAGAAAAAAACAACAGAAAACGTCGGAATTGCGTTGAGTATCCAATTCAAAATGCTGTGCAGCCTTGTTGTCAAGCGTGACGTCTTTAGAATATGGCGCTAATTATAACGCTTCTGATTCCCGCCCTTATTTAGTGCGTTACATTTTTCATGTTTTATGCTTTAAAAATGTAATAATTTCACTCATGTGGCTATCATTTATATATTAATATCAAAATATTAGCCACACTCGTGAAATATATTTGTTATTACCAAAGACACCATTACATATCCTCTTTATATCTTTAAGTTCACAGCCAAGAAAATGATGTCACCAGATTCATGTCACTTCGCTATATACTGTAAAAGTGGATTTTGTTGCGTGTGGAAATATTCGCGTTGTCCCTTTTTAAACTGATCGTGGTTTCAAACGTTCGCGTTAGCAATGGTTCTGATTTCTTTATATTCTATATCATCCTTAAATAAATGGATATTTTCGCGCCAATTTACTCGACGCGAAAAACGCGATTATTTCCACACCGCGAAGATTTCCACTTTTCCAGTATATGATTCGTGAATTATAAACGGTTGTCACAATGTAAGTCAATATTTTAAAACCAAACTCATAATGTAGGTATTATAATGTTTTATTTATATCTTGGATGGTATATACAGTGAAGTTTGTATATATATTTACAAAACATGACCAAAACAAGTATTACTTATTAACTACACTGTAAGTCTATGGGATCCTAAAATAACAATAAAAGGGTTGTACATTAAAATTTAGATGTAAAAAGAAAAGACATTAAAATTTAACAAAGAGTCACCTTGAGTCTATAAATATGTATACAGATTTATTGCAGTTATACACATATCATTTTTTGCTAAAAATAGAAGGACCAAAAATACCAGTACTAATTATAGACAGACCTTGTTTATCTGGACTTCATAATTAACGGATCTTGCTTACACGAAGACTGAATTATCCGTTTTAACGAAAGATAAGTGTCACTTAAAAACCGATTCAGGCGTCTGGTAACTCGCTTATCTCGAAAAATCGGACATTTTTTGCGATCCTGTCGACTTCGAGATAACGAAGTTCAACTTATTCGCTCCAGTCATTAGTGTTCTAGTATCGGAGTACGGATTAAGTGGGGTGCGTTCGAGACGTATGTTAGGAACAGGTTAACTGGAAAAGAGCGTTTCGAACACGCCGGCACAGTAAGTTAAAAACCAAGGTAAGGTAGTTTAGATAAAATTGGTCGTGTATTTTATGTGAAAAAAAGTACTTCGTAATTTTGAAGAAGAAAACACAAAACACTCAGGTTTACGGTCATAGTGGATTTTCCCATAATAACAGAATTCAGTCATTTTCTTTGACTTTCGTCTTTTTAGGCTAGATAAGCGGCCTTGGTACCTCTATACTAACCTAGGCTTTGAATACTAATCATGCCTAGCAGAAGGTTAAAAAAAACTTAGTCAAAGTTTCGGATTTAATTAATGAATGACATTTTTAATTAACTAAGATTAATGACATTCATCGATTCGTTAATACATATTATTCGTTATTTAAATTTTTGAATTGACTTATACGTATATTGTTCAACTGGGTCTGCTGTATAAATAGTAAAAATACAGTCGAACGTCGTTATCTCGAGGTCGACGGGGTCGTGGAAAAAGTTCGAGTTATCCGAGTTGTGTGGGTTCATATATTTGGTATGAAATTTGCTGTTTGGACATAGCACTAGCAGTCGTTGGTTTCTATTAATAGCCAATGCTCATAATCAATCGATGAGGTATAAATTCAAATATTAATCGTCAGGTAATTTCGCTTGTTCTTTTTTTTTAATGAAAGTATGACTCAAACAACGAATAAGTGTCCCAGTTTCAGGACTCGTTACCCACAGCATGACTCAAAAAGGTTGGAGGGATTTGTCTTATATAAATGAATGTGATTCCAGACTGACTGATTAAAATTCACAATAATACTGTATCATTTCAAAATGAAACTGTTGAAACTCATATTGTGTAATCAAAAACATAAATTATAACAAATCATAAACAGTCATTCACTCATATACTGAATTTTCCCGATTGTCCTTAAAACAACCTATAATTGGGAATTTCAATTCTATAAAAGAGCAACAAATCACACACATACACACCTAGGAATACCAACACACACACATAAACCAGAACATATTTTCTTGTTTACGGAAAGTGCCGACGATTCCCGGGGTTAGTATTCGCGAGAAATTGTGTATTTGAACTCTTTGTCGACTCACAACCGAATATAAACGAAACTGTTAATCTCATGAACAAAATTAAAAAAATAAAAATCATCTAGGATTTTCGGTAAAGCTGTTGTAATTTTTTAAAACAACAACCTCACTTTGATGCCTGTCCGGAACTCATATACCGAAGATACTAATATATGAAAATAATAATTCAGATATATATTTACTGACCGAATCCCTTTGCTATGCATATGCTAGATTATTCTTTTTATTGTGGGTATTTTTTTAAGCTGAAGATTTCCCTTGAAAACACGAAAAACTATTCATTCTATCTTTATTTGTTCGAAAATAGAAAGTGTTTTCCATTCCATTTCCATCGTTTTAAATAATACGAAATCTGGGGTGCTTTTCCTTGACCGGAAAATGCCGGAAAATGCCGGAAAAGTATATCATCTATGAAACAAACCTAAAAACAAAAATTAAAAAAAATCTAGAGTCCTCAATCAATTTAGGATAAAACTATATAAATCTACGCATGCGCATACGAAATCTTAACTGGCCCGATGTATCCCATACATCACGTGACATTAACAAAAACACAATCTATCAAAATAGTCATACCATACAAGAACATGAATATAAATATCTATCTTACACATAATTATGTCATCTTAAAATAGGGGACGCAGAGGATGTGTATGACATCCAGATTGATTAAATAAATTTAATAATCATCGAAAACTTTCATTTTAGTCAAAAAAATTCAAATCTCTATATAATAGTTATTTGGATCGTTATAAAATCAAAAACAAAAACTTGACATATCTGAATTGTATAGATCAACTGACAGTTTTTTTCTCAAATAATTTTAAGAGGAAGAAACCTTTCTGTGAAAGGCGTCCAGGACATTTTGTGGATAAATTCCGGTAACGTATTATTCAAATACTAATCGCTATCTTAAGTTTTCGACAAAATATTTGTATACCTTTTACAATCACACAGTTTGTTATCGGGATTAGTTGCAGAGTTCGCTCAGCCTTGTGATCACAATGCGATCACCGAGTGCGATTTTGATAGTTTTATTCATTGATTATAGCGCTACTTGAGTACATTTTAACAGTAGAAATCATATCTAAGATGGAGTATGGTTTCAAAGCACCACACCTGGTATTGTATCTGGGTTTAAGTTTGTTAGATGTTTCGGTGAAAATAGCAGTGAGTTGGTGTTAATCTAGCAACGATTTTGTATTTGTGGGTAATATATATCCATGTTTTACTTAAGCATTTCCCCTTGATTGGTCAATGCAGTTCGTTATGACTTTTTGGTTGACCAATGAAACTCCATTGTTTCAAATACAAATTAAAATATGCATTCTATCTCTGTATTATTTTGCTGAGATCATCAAAAACACCGGGAACTATTTCATATTATTACTCAGGTGACACAGTTCACGTGTCAATAGATAACTCTATAAATCATTCTGGTTTAATTTGAAAGTCATACACTCATCATGTATACTGCAAAAGTATATACACATGTTAATACCAAACAAACGCAAAACATCGCTGACAATCAGGGTTTTTACAAATTATAATTATTATTCATTCGCTCTCAAAGATTTTGATTATAAATTCAAACAAAATTACCAAGACATTGGAAAAAACAGAATAGGAATTTGGGCGCCATATAAAGACGGCAAAATACGATTATGTAATAGAAATGTAGTCGAATCACTTAATTACCAAAAGTGGTGCGATTGGTAGTCGAATACGCGAAGGGAGGCAACTCTTTTAAGATCCTTGGTAATCTTCCGCACAACAAAAACGTTCGGTAACATGTATTTTCTTGTTATCATTACATAGAAAAATAATCATGAATATTCAAATACATTGTGGCTTTATGATGGCTACATGAACTCTATAATTCAAAAAAAGGTACCCAGGGGTATCTTAGGTAAAATTAATTCAAACATTGAAAATTATAGTTTCGCAAATACAAACAAAGGGCTCAACGCACCGATAAACAATTATTCATACGACTTTTAATCCACATCAGCGTGTCAGGCCCCTGTGTACATAAAGATATGAATATCAATACAACGATAAAGCACTAAATAGGTTCTACAATCTCAATCCTGAACCGTCGGCACTTTCCGTACACCAGAAAATACGTTTACGGAAAGTGCCGACGGTTCCCGACTGGTACAATCTTATACTAATAAAAGACATAAAAATATATAATTTTTAAAACAGTATAGGTCAATATATCCGGATAACTAAACAACTTATCCCAAACCCTCCACCAGAATAATAAGAACAAGTGAACAAGAAATGGGCCTGGGTGAAAATATATCTAAACGTTTAAATACAGCAGCTGAAACACATCAATGCCCAGCATCAGGGAACGAAATTTGTATACAGTGATTTTTTTATTAAAATTTTGAAATTAAATAAGCAATCAATATCTATAATTTTGAGTTTTCTTTGAATTCAAGTATAATGGCAACTCAATAAGAGTAAAAAAGGTAAACAACTTTAATCAGATCGAAAGAAAAAATGTGATTCATGTATAAGTCTAATATTTAAAGATACGTCACATTTTATCTATAAAATGATGTCAGAAAACGTGAAAAAAAAGTGATTAAATGATTGCTTTCCTCATGAAATTTTTATCACAAAAAATTGTTTAACTAAATTATTGCATTATGTATGATGAAAAAATTTCTAAGTTACATCAATGATCAAAAGTTGTCTAAATTACATCATCAGCAGAGCAATAACTTCGAGTGTCTCTAATTCAAACATTTCTGTGATTCAGATAAAACCTTTTTGTGATTCATAGTGATGAATGCAAAACTGGCAAATATACTAGGGCAAAGCTGATATTTAACATTCATACTGGATTGATACAGTTAAATTACATTTCCATCTTTTTTTCCCTTTCTGGTTAATTTCAAATATATAAACTTAACAAATTTAATTATAAACAACAAAACAGAATGATTGCACTTGATAATGGATAGTGACTTCCATGAACATAAAAAGTTAAGAACGTATGCTACATGGCCATGAGCATGTACCTCCTAATTAAAAAGAGTTCAAGAATCACAAAACCGTATTTCTGACAGGGATGTGGGGCAAAACATTATCTACAACATATGAATGCAATTCATTTTGAATATACTATATTTATATATATAACGATACACATCAACTTTCATACTCAAAAAGTATTTTAAAACATGATCACAATACCAGAGTGGCAACAATAGCATTCAACAACATGTATGAAAGACAAAGAGATAGTTGCTCTCCCTTCATAATCAAGAATAGACTAGTCTGCTATTCAAGAGTCTATACAGTATGGGCGAGACTACTTCCTAAAAGAGGGGTAATAGGCAAACTAATGTTGTTTCCCCTCAATATCACATTGCATACAACTAGCATGATAAAGTGTGCATTTATTTTTAAGAAATTATGACAATTCAATAGCTTTGATAAAAAGTAAATCAGTATTTGAATATTGACACAATAACAAGAATATTTGGTGATTCACATAACAGAGATCATTACTGTGAGTATTTTGTTTTTTCACAAATTATTGGTTATTTTGCAATTTTAACAAAAATCCACTTCTTAACATAATGACATCAGTAGAAAATTGTACCCTTTTTTCATAGATTCTTAAATCTTTTTCATCTGTACAAATTCCACATTGCCAGGAATGGATAAAATGTAATTCATTGTCTTGTCCCTGGTCATAGCTTCTAAACAGACGTTCACAAAATCGGTTTCATCCAGACTTAATGATCACGTAAGCTTGTCAGAAAGTATTTTTCTGTGAAATTAATTAAACGCCTATCTTTTTGATATGAAATTAAACCTACGTTGATGCACACGGTGGCATCGATATAGGCTTGAGATAAAGGTTGTTCTTCTTTTTTCTTTTAACTTTGAATTCTTAAACAAATTTTAATTTATATTGAAAATTGAATTATTCAGTTGAAACACATGCACGTTATTTCTCGACATATCTGGAATACTTGACAAAACATTGACAACGGATTCTCAAAATTTAACCTTGTATTAAATTAAATTCAAGTAAATAGATGTGGTTGTAACATGCAACATAAACTATACAAAATGTCACCCTTGATGTTGTATAACCATTTTTGCAAAGCATGACTTTTTTGATGGACATAAATGTGTGATTATCATAAAAAATAGACATCCGGGGTTTTGACCGGTTACCCGGATGTTCTTGGTACATCCGGGTAGTGTGAACTCTGTGAAATGGAGATGGAGAATATACAGATGGTTTCGTACTATAACCAGTGCATAGCTATGGTTATTTTTATTCCCTGAAATGGTAGTCAATTAATTGTGCGCTAGGTTTTTCACAAATTATGTGCAAAATTAACCAATGACCAGAAAAACAAGGTATTTATGACTGACCAATCAAATTTGAGCTTTCTTATGAAAGACATATCTAAATATATCATAACATTTTTTTTATTAAAACGTTTATTTGGTTGGTCAACCTTAGAATGTGGAATGAATTCAGTCTAATCACTGATTCCTTGTCGTTTGTGTCCTCTGTGGGGAGACAATCAAATCGGACCTTCCATTTGAAAGATATCAAAACGTTTCTGATTGGTCGATTTTGTTCCTGGAATGGAAGTAGCACTTCAGTCCGAAAATCGGGAGCAGGCTTTCTTCCATTTACACTGAGTGCACCACATGTCCCTGTTTTCCATCCCATAAACCTTTCGGCACTTCCGGACTTCACTTCGAGGCTTCTTATGAGAGGAGAAAAGGTGAGATTTCGGAGACTGAGCCTGATGCTGTTGCAGCCGTTCCTGTGGAGATGGTTTGGACGAACGGACAGAAGGTGACATCTGGAAAGGACACGACAGAAAAAATAATTCATATACATGTACTTAAATGAACTGTATTGAATAATTATAGAGCTATATGTGTACTACGTCATCCTATTTTGCGCATGTGTCAGCATATACAAATAAATATATGTGCACTGCGTCATCATTGTATGTTTGTGTGTCAGCTGTACCGCGACATAGTTTTGAGTTTATTTACCAGTATATATATATATATATGTGTATTCCAAAACAGACTACTGTGTCTTCCAACCTACGGCCAATAAAGGTAAATGAAGTAATTAGAGGTCAAACTAAGGTCAATAGAATCGCTTACCGACAATCCAGGCGAGGATGAGGTATTGTTATTTTGCCATGACAACGATCTTTTGATCTGTGGCATTGTTATGGGAAGAGATCCGGATGACGTCAGCGGTTGGAATCCTCCAGAAGGCACTGACGAGGCGAACATGTTGCCAACATTTTGTCTGTGTTCCTTAAATATAAAAGAATGAAGAATTCAAAATCGTGTAAATTGGTGTCCCATAAAAAATTGAAATGATGACGTCATACAATCTCGTATAACAACTTCAAGCGGTACTTTTTAAGTCTAATTGAATATGAAGATCTTTTGACTTTACCAATCATGCTATTTTCAGATCTTATTTTCGAAATACCCAAATAAATAACAACACTAGAATTTTAAAACCGTGTATAATATGATCTTTCTCCTCTAGACAAAAATGAAAAGTCAATGAATTTTCAAATATAATTAATATTGTTCTAAAACAAATCTGTATAACACGTGAAAGTTAAATCACGACAATCTAGACTGACCTTTTTCTGGTAGTCGTGATCTGGAATAGGTCTGCCGAAATCAAATCCGGTTGGTTCCGGCGGTGATGACGTACACATATCAGAGAATTTCTCAGTCACGTGATCCATCGTGACCTCGATCTCGGTGTAGTAAAATTCTTCCTCGTGATCAAGAAAGTTGCTGTCGCTTTCTGAAAGTCTGAAAACAGAAAAAGAGCCCATCAGATACTGTTGATTCCATTGACGTTTGTCACGTAACAGCACTGGTAAACATGATAATACGATCTTGTTCCCAAAAATCCCCATTTGTTTTACCATTTGGGTAAATAGATTGTCAAGGATGGCTGTCCCATTTCTCTGTGGTCTTTTGTATGTACAGTAGTACTGGTACATTCTATATTATTTTGAAGTCCATGCCCCAAGATCCTGAAAAAATCTTAGACATTCTTTTTTGCTTAGCCAATCACGTATGACGTCACTTTTAACGACGTTATATGTGATTGGTTCAGGCTCGAATCCCGGTTTAAGTTTAAAAAAAATAATACAATCTTGCGTCCCGTGAGTGATAAACATTTGAGACCAAGTTTTTTAATGTTTTACTACTTATTCTTTGAGTAACAATATTTTATCTCTTTCATTCCGTACAGTAGTTCCATCCGGGTCCCTTTAATTGATACATACCCAAGATGTGCCGTGCGTACGTGGGCCTCGATACTGGACACTGTGTTGTGAATTTTGTTGCATTTCTTCCACGTACATTTGAACACCGTTTTCTTGTGACCCTACAAAAATAAAATTGCTCTTTATTAAACACAAAATTGATAAAATTCATTTCCAGCTAAGCTACCAGTGGACTGCTTCTGGGTAATCTGATTTTATTTTTACCAAAATAATAGGTCCGGCAAGGTTTCCTTCTATGTACACACCAATTTTTTCATATAATTTTCTTGGAACTTATAACAACGGGTTTAAGATCGAGATCGTATGCACGCCTTGCTTACATAACAGTGTGTTTTGCTAAAGGACAAACATTATTATTATAATAATGATACCGAATATTTATTAGAAACTATATATAAACTTAAGGAAATCACTCATCGGCAAACACTAGCACAATCAAGAGTGTGGAAGATGCATTGCTTAAGCGCTAATCACGTGATTCCCATTATGTGCGCGTGCTGAAGATTGTATAATGACGGTGTCCGGTTTGTTATGTGTCCGTTTTCTATTTTCCTATTATAAAATGCATAATTATCATGAACTTCCATAGAAAGCATAATACCAACTCATATCTTATAATGTTCTATATTTATAGTTAAAATTAAGCGCACCTTGAAAAATAAATAATGTTTTAGGCAGGTTAATGTTTAACTGAAGGGTTTAAAACTAGTTACCATCAATTACTATATAATAATACGACACTAGTTCCAAGCCCTCGGCGCAGTGAGCTAAATTACCCGGATGACGTCCTCACTAATGTTGTTCGGGCTACCATGCCTTGCCGGCTTTATTACCAGTATAATGACCACAGATGAGGGGGTCGAACCACGATGCTGACCGCGTGGTCAGTGACCATTCAGGCCATTACGGTCAGTTTATATTTATTACATGAACACATTAGTACAATTGACATCAGCAATATCATTGTGACACGTCCGAATCCTCCCAGCTAAACAATCCGAAGTGTTCAGGACGAGAACGAAGTTTGACCAGTCGACTGATCATGTTTCCGATTACCAATACGAAGCACAGGGACATGAGAATTTATTATCGATTTTAGTAGTTATGTTTATACCTAATATGACGTGTTCCTGGTAATATAAGACGTCTTAGGGGTTAATATCAACTTTCGGTAAAAACACTTCCACCAATGATGGCATAAACGAGTAACAGGGCTGGTATGTTTTTTTTACAAAATGTTGGTCTAAACACATAAACGTAAAATAAATACACAGAACTCCTAGGTGTATGTCCAATTTTAGCTTAACTGTTACAATTTCGTATGTCCCTGTGTTACGAACAACTACATTAAGTTGATAATAAATGCTGATGTTTGCAAATGTTTTACGTCTGGACAGTGTAATACAGTACTGGCTTTGTGCAGCTTTATTTTGAAGGATAAATGTAGCTCGTCCAAGTCCGACTCAAGTTTTCAAGCGAACGCGATAGAAAAATGCTATAAAAACATCTGTTTTTATTACAGCTTTGCCAGTGAAATATGGGATTCTATCAACTTGATAAAACTGATATATTTCACACTGTTACAAATAACAAAAGTGATATCACTTTTTGGTATTGACCAATCATAACGCTATCTTCTATTTGCTGCATTCAAAGGCAACGATATCTTGTCACAGATTCACATGAAGCGACGGTAAAATAAGTGGTTGTTATGGTAAATGTTTGGTACACACACATAAGTGTTTACATAAATATACAATTAATTACATTTGTATAAACAATCCTTCCAGAAAATAGAAGAAAACGTCGGAATCGCGTTGAGTATCCCATTCAAAATGGGGCACAGCCTTTAAAATATGTAATAAATAGAAAAATTAGTGATGTCTTCAATAATAACAAAAATATTAGCCACACTCGTGAAATATATTTGTTTTTACTGAAGACACCATTAAATATCCTCTATATATTTTTCTGTAATTTGTGTGTACGAGTCCACCATTCTATTAGTGAATAACTGTAGGCAGTTTCCTACATTATAACAAGATGACTGGATACGTGTATATAATCCTGCATTGTTAATACACAGTCAGCACATCACATAATGATATCGTTATATAAGCTAGCTACTATATGCACCTTGACGACTCACAGCTGTGTGGTGACGCCACAGAGTGTATTAATATTATTCATTTCCGGTTAAGTCGATGCACTCATAACGTTAACATTGATTGACAAATGAGCTCCGGGCCGTTTCGGTGTATACTAAATGAACTACGTGTGCCATTTAACTTATAAACATGAATTTCGTGACTATTACCCCGGAGATAAGTCATGTGTCAGTGACGTTTAGTTTAAATGAAAGTATGCCGTACGTAGTCAAAGAACTTACTAATTCTTTACATAAGTTGGACAACTTGTGCCCGATCCCTTTTGTATATTAGATGCAAATAAAAATATGTTTAAATCAAACTAATTCTTTACATTGTGTATCAACATTTTTCAAGAGAACATCTTAAACACTGCACGTGCAAGTAGCCACTAAATTTCTTATCTAACATCTGGCAACCACGCAACATTCTTTTCGTGAGAGTTTCGTTGACTTTTGGTTTAACTTCATATTTTGATAAAATTCCGACCCGAGTATTTGAAGCTATGGCGTAACTGATGTCCGTCCGGTCCCGTCCCATTGTCATGACTCAACAGACTTCATTCTTTCACAGATTTTAGAAACATACATTTTTTTTGTTATTGGACTAGGTGCTTTTAATTTCCCGATGTTTCCGTTTATTGTAAATAATGATAATTCCCCGATGTTTCCGTTTATTGTAACTAATGATAATTCCCCGATGTTTCCGTTTATTGTAACTATTGATAAATTCTCGGCTTGACCGTTATCATATACATGTATATGTAACAGCAGAAAGAGAAAATGTAACGGCCAGACCGGGGGTTCGAACCCGGAACCCTCCGAGCTCTAGACAAACGCTCTACCAACTGAGCTATCTGGTCGCCGACGATCGACCCAGTCTAGCTCGGCTACATATATATATATAAAGGCATATGCAACCGAAAATCACAACGTGCAGGGCTATATCTCTGATGTATTAGTGAATACCGCCAGCACTATCTGTATACTATAAGTGTGAACGCATTCGGCACTTTGCCAGATGGGTCAAGAAACAAACGCTTTAACTGGCACCAATGATTACAAAAAGTAATATGGTTTTCATCATGCGCATGTCACGAGATGTTTTTTTTATGTATTTGTGTATTGCCGTGGGTGCTTAAACCTGTCAAGTACACACCAGTCAGTCACTTGTGTGCACAGTAGTTTCGCTACATTCCAGCAGGGCAGCGCTGCACGGCATTGCCGCTATACAATCGCCAAACTACGAGTGTTGGAGAAACTTAATGGAAATCTAAACGGAAAGCAAAAATTGTTCTTATGTTCAGGCATATTCCAGTGGGGCAGACGATCAGACAGGGGAATCAGAAATGCATCAATAGCTAGATTTCAAAGAAAAATCACAATGAATGACACTGATTAGTTAAAGTTTGTAAGAAATATATATATAGATATTTCGTGTTTGTAACGATTGTAATGACTGGAGTGAGAGTGCATGGAAATACCATACCGAAGGCATATGACATACAGTATTCCATCCGGTTACATTATACTCACAGACAACGGGTAACTAGTTGTTGCAATAACCTTAAATGCTGATCGTTAAGCAGGGAATAACATCTACTATTTTTAAGGACTTTGGTATATCCCGGCATGGGGACAGAACTCAATGCCTCCTCACTTAGGCGAAAACGTTCAACACTGAGGCCAAAAGTGAGGTTTTAAAAGGAAGGCACTATAGGAAACAAAGGGGCAGAGAGAATGTCCCGTTAGTGTCGCGAAATAGAGAGCACAAAATAAGCAAATCCCCTATTCCGCAGGGAATTCACACATTAGTTGCCTTTTGCAACAGAATAGGGTAACAGCAGGTTTATTTTCCACCCAATTCCCGGCCTCTAGTGTGTCAACATTTTTTTACAATAAGATTGTCTACTTAAAGTTAATGCGTCCGTGGACTTTGACAAAATGGCTCTTTGGTCTTATTCACGTGAAGAGTCGTGAGATGCTTGTTCAGCTATCTACGTTGCCTTTTAAGTGCCTTAACACAGCTCTGCCTTGGATAGCGAGTGTGTCTCTGTCCGAGTTTCGAGTTCAATGACCCTGAAGCCCGACCTGGAGGGTTTAAAAATCTAGGTCAGTGTGTGAATGCCAAGCACTACACACAACTACAATGTATCGCGTGGAACAGTAGGCGTAACGTAAATGATAGACGCATTATATGGCATTTCTGTTGTCTTGATGGCCGTATTATAAGGTTGTTTTATTTGTGTTTCATAAGCGTGTGTAATTCGCTGGATCACTATAAGCAAATGATTGGAGAAAGATAAAGCCTGCTCTGTATCCCACTATGTATAATCGGTTTTACGTAGTAGGGGCGACTAATGAGACACCCCCATCCCACCAATGCAGAACGATTTTGGCATTTGTCTGCGGCCAAGAAGACATTGAACAAACCAGCATGTTCTGTTGACTCAATTATGCCCCTTATTCTCCCAGTCCTTCTTACTTTGGTTTAGGCTGTGTCTTCATCGGATCCCTTTGGGGTTACATAGCTGTTAAAACCCATGGCAAACAATAATTGTGTCACGCTCTCGCTATGTGAGAGTTATACGCAGTAAGGCTGTTATCCGCCGTGCACATGACTTCACATGAGCGACGTTTTATTTCCCCTTTACTTTACGAACCACGTGTTTGTGCTATTGACAACGGTATCGCTTTACATTAACATCTTATATGTAATTCACAATTAAGGTGTGTTAATGTAGTCAAAAATAACTTGTACTGACACCCATTTACCCTACTTCCTCATAAGTTGGAGTCTAATCACGTCTGGGTCGATCGTTTGTGATATTAACTCGGTGTTACTATTCACTTCATGACGTCATTCCGATAATGCAACATTTTCCTCCGTAGGTTTTTTTCATGCGTTCCATCTGGCTTAATTATTAACTTTTATTTCGGTAAATATGTGGTATCGGTTACTTTCTCAGGTTCATAAAACCAAATATTCACCTCAACAAAAGTTCATCATTGATATAATTATTTAGGCTCTATTGACAAACCTCCTGTGCGACGCAGTTTATTTATCGGGGATACACGTGCATACTTATACGGTCTCTTCATACATATGTATCTATTTACATGCACATGTACGTACGTATAACATACTGGCCATACACTTATGGACACAAACAAACATGTACGTTAATGTGTCTTGATGTTGTTCATACCAACGTGAATACCGTGCAGGGGGCTCTGGTCACTAGGTAACGGCCGAAGTGTCGGCTAGTAACTAATTATATTGGCGGCGGTCACCACACATCATTTTACTATTCATTTAACATATTTCATTATCTATTACGTCACAGCACACTGTCGTGTGAATGTCCTTAGTGTACTTTACCCAGAGATCTCCATAAGTTACGTACCTCTGCTTTAACGCGACCTACTAGAGATTATGGTCGGCAATTCGCGTTACACAATAACGTCTGCCAACTCAGCACTTTCATTTGTGTCCACTTCATTCTTATTAAAACGGTTGCCATAAAATGATACGTTCCCTTGTAAATGTTTAAGTTTTTAAAACTTGTAAAAGCATTTTCTATATGTAGCGACATTGATCACTATGAATACGTCTGTGTAGCTGTCTGGTTTCATGTCTCAACATGGAAATAATTTTCCGCAGGGTTAGATCTTTTTGCGTCCAGGGTTTTCCGGTAGCCTATGGCAATGGTGAGGAGATATTTTGCCGATCCAGGCTGCTCAGGTTTTATGAACTTTAATGAAGTTAAACTCCGGCCATGGGATCTAGCTCACGGGACAGTTAAACGAATACTTCCCCCTTTTTTTTTTTTACTATATAGGGAATTAATTGATTCAAAGAAATTTAATAATTTTTTTTTGGACGATTAATCAACATGACTAATTGTGTCCTAGAGTTTTACCGGCGATGAAATCTTACACAATCAGGCCTCAAAAATGTTGGTCATTATATAATATACATACTTACAAAGAATTTATATCAAGGGCTTATAAAGCCATATAGTGTGGTATACGTCTCTGTTTATTTAAGCAAGTAAAAAGAATGTACGTTTAAGCCTTATTTGACCACTGGCTAGTGACTACTTGACCGGACCAAAGACACGTAACACGATGTTATATATAATATATATACTCTCCATTGGCGACGTAACGTGACATGAAGTGTCCGGAGAGATCAATCACCCCGCTGACCAATAGCTGACCCCGTGTAGATTAAAAGAACACATACGCAAACTAACAGACAGGTACCCCTAGACAGGTTTAACCGTAATAAGATCGGAAGTTTGTGATAAAACGTTATTTTATCGATAACGTTGCCAAAACAATCGGATAAAGGTGTTATCCTACAAAGATTATTTTATGCAAAAACTTAATTATGTTGGATGAACTTTTTACTATTATTGAAGGATATTAGACGAAAATGTTTTAAGAAAAAAGTGGGAAAAAAATAAATACAAACGTCACGTGCCCGCTTTCACGGGAATGGAGCAAAAACGCAACGCATTACCAAAGTCACTAACCGTGAATAATATAGGTCACAGTGACCTATTTTGAGTGAAGTGAAAAATATCCAAAGCATGATGAGTATGATCGGTTTTTATTATTAGAGTATAATATAGCCTAAACGCTTTTCTCTAAGCAATGCTTGTGACATATAATAGGTCGCAGTGACCTACATTTATATTTAGCTATAGTATTTCTCCTGATGTATCCACATTTTGTGGTTTGATAAATGCTGGACTTCCCGGCAGTGTATTAGCAGTGGAACTAAACGTAAACTAAATCCAAAATCAGTGATGCGGAAAATATGAGCAACAGTGAATTCTATTTGCTATAAATAGGCCTCTTTGACCTATATGTTATAGTATATAGTATTCTAATGAAGTCTTCACGTTATGACTTTTGATAAATCTGACATCGGAGCAAAATGCAAATTATATCAAATTCAGTGATGCGGAAACTATATAGGTAACAGTTGATGTTTTGCAGTTATCCGTTCACGCCTCAAGATGTATGTACATACATATAAACGTTTGATGAATATTGAACATTCAGTTTTCAGACCTCTCAAACGTCAGTGATGCGAAAAAAATATAGGCCATAGTGTATTTGATATAATGCTGTAAAAACCCGCAAGATATATCTACATGGGAAAATTAAAGAATGTCGCACTCTCATAAGAGAGCTATACGCAAAGCCTAACAAATATATGTCGGGGGAGCAGACGGACAGAAGTATGGAAAAGACAAACAATGAATGTCTCCTTCACTCTGCTCAAGGAACCTTCATAAAACGAGATTTCGTACGATAAGTAATCCAAAGTGGTAGGGCCCGAGGTCGCCAAGTGGTTTTAAAACTAAAAAGACATCTGACATTCTGCTACCACCAGCCCTACACCACTGGGTCGCAGGTTCGAGGCCTACGTGGGGCAGTCGCCTGGTACTGGCTGTAGGTCGGTGGGTTTTTTTTCTCCGGGAACACCGGCTTTCCTCCACCACCAAAACCTGGCACGTCCTTACGTAAAATACAAACAAACCAAACCAAACCAAAGTTTGTTTCACAATTATAACTATTACTGTTATCCATATGTTGTAAAGCGCTTTAAAGTAATTTTACAAATGATATAGGGCGCTATATAAATGTTGTATATCATTATTTATTATTAAACAAAAATGGAAGCTTGAAATTATAAGCTGCCATCTATACCTTGCCCTCGGCACATGACACAATATAACAGCATGTCAAATGCTGTTTTCCCATAAACTGGAAGGTTTGTACTTTTGTGTTTACATCAGGATAATGTTCTGGCTGTTAACACATAATATAAAACCTCACTGCATTGCCCTCATGCTTGGCATTTTCCCCCACTATGGTAAACAACGGCAAAAATGTTGTGAACACAAAACTGCACTGAATAACACATCACTGAGGGAGGGCGCTCAATTCACGGAACAGCGTAAACAATCGGTAGCTAATACACATTCTCCAGCCTTAGCGCTATAAATAGACGTGCTCTCTGACAAGCGATCACGTGGTCTCAATGATTGATCTTTATGGGCAATGAACTTGGTTTAGGTCAATTTGCCTACGTCATCGCGATCGGCTTATTGTTGCTACAGTAGCATAAGAAAATCCTCCGCTTACGTAGATTGTACCTTTTCATACTGAATATATAATACATCAATGGATAAATGATTGATGTCTGCATGTGTGTTCGTAACTTTTTGTGTATGTAACGACTACGTTTATATCAGAGGCATAGCTTAGTATACAGACAACATAACGTCAGCATGACCTACGCTATAAATAGCTACATCAGTTAGCGATCAGCTGATGGAAGTAGGTCACGAGCACCCAAAACTGTGTATTTATCCCCGCAAGACTGACCCAGTAAAAAGATACATTAGTACGCATACACCTGTACATTATACTTTACCTGGTCGCGCGAACTCCATACAACAATTTTATACGTTAAGCCTTAAATTGACGTTTATTAGCTGCTGTACGAGTAACAAATGATAAGTCTTATTGTCACATATGTTAGGTCAAGGGTCATCGATCTGTTTATGCCATATATATATAGGGTTCAAAGTCTACAGTTCATTGTATGTTGTATCTTTGGATCTCAATCATCAAATACAATAGCCACAGGCAGTTTCTATATATGGTTCTACAATCATTTCCATTTAGATAAAAGCGAGAAACAGAAATATACGTCAGCACTATATTAAGTACGGTTGCTATTTGTGGCTTTTAACTCAGTTTACTTGTTTGGTAGGCTCCATTTTATCAAAAGTCCAGCTGTCTTAAGACGCATTTTGTCCGAAATTCCGATAGTGGAAGTCATATTTGTCCGAAATTCTAAATTTCGGATTGCATATTTTACGTAATATCGGTATTACCTGAAATCGACTTACTTCGGTTATAGTTACTCGTATTAACCTCAAGAAGCCTTAACCTATAACCTCTACTTATCTTAACTTTAGGTTACATTAATCTTAATTTAACTGATCGTTAACATTTGCATTCAAAGTTAATATATGTTTTGATTCGAAGGTAAACGTTTTTGTTTTGCTGTTGTTACTGACAAACGCGTGCAATCTGTCTTTATAATATATAAAGAGGTCACTCTTAATTTAACCGGAGTTGGGGCATTGTACAGTAGCGGAATAACCCGAGACAGGGACAGCAATTAAGAAATGTACATTGCAAGCACGTGTTTACGTACCTCATGATAATGACGGCTTATAGTTATCTATCCCGCTTCCGAGGATGTATACAAAGTTACAGGGTCTTACAATATTGCTTACCGTGCATAATACACACAGCGATAGCTAAATACACAACTTCGCTTCCGTACAGTAATATGATGACACAGCGAAATGTATATCGCAGGGACCTGGTAATTTGTTACAGCCATATGCATATGTACCTAAACTAATGTGTTTAGAGTAATTGTAAATGTTCGGAGGGGTTTAGATCAAGTTTCGGTCTAAACACCTTAGTTTAGGTCCAAATATATAAAGCTTTTACAGATTTTCAGAACCATATGATGTATATGAAAATACACAATATATTTCTCTCTCGCTAAACAAATTATACAAAATACTTAAAAAGTGCATGTATGTCTAAATGATTCTATGTATTAACTTCCGGGGTTTGTGATTTCATATTTAGAATATCGAAGTCCACATGTAGATTTTGGCTACTTTACAGCCTTGCTTAGACTTTCATATTAAATATTGATAATTTGAGCGCTGACATAAATCTACTAGTCCTGACCTAGTGGAATTTCACACACCCCTGTCCTTTTCGTCACAATAAACAGTTTCACAAAAAAAACGGGACAGATGCGGAAGAAAAGATAATCCTACCTCATATCCGTGACTTTCGATCCTCTTTCGTTTTGGTTCCAGATTTTCCACATCGTCATCTTCGTCGTCATTTTCCTCGAGCACAAGACCTTCATCTTTTGGGTAGGATCCGAAGAACCAGCTCCCGGACGCTGCCGGGGCGCTCTCACTGAGATTGCCGGAGAGGGGCGGGGAGGGGTCACTCCTTTCCGAATGGAAACCACTGCTCGCCACGCTACTGGACAAGGGGGCGGGGCTCTTATTGGTCAGATCTGGTGAATATTTACAGTATGTGTTATTTAATGTATGAAAACTTTGTCTTGTAACAAGGACAAATAAGATGAAATGTCCGAACAACCTACAACCTTGAAAGGAACCAGATTTTCAAACTTGTGAAAAATATATAGGTTTGCTAATTCGAAGGGTACAATTTGCATATACAATATATTTATCTTGTTTTTTTCAAGACTTTTTTTTCTTTCACTATACTCTGAATATCCCCTTACAAAAGTTACCATTATAATAGTATTTTTTCTTTTTTTCTTCTTTTTTTCTTAGGAACAAAGAATAAAAACCCAATGTATAGAATGACCACATCACGGGTGAAAGTCACTTTATACGGACATGATATTTCGAATATAGGACAGCGAAACATATGACGAAGTATTATTTTGAATATACCATTGTGCGTAGTAAACGTGCTATATATAGTAAGCTGACGCAACAAGCACCTGTTAGCTGTGACGACTGGAACTTGGGAGACTGCGGACTACAGGACAGACTCGTTAGAACCATCGCCGCTATCGTCTCATCCATCATCTCTACGTCATTTTCCTCTGTCTGTGTACCGTCTCTGTCTTCATCGTCGCTACTTGGTCGACGATACCGCCTGGGGGAGATAACGGAGCATGCTATTTACCCAAAGGCTTTGTCTAAATACATATGGGTGGGTCGGGGGACACTTCTCCTGAGAGGGAGGGCTAATCCCTAAGGTCAGATAGGTACATGTGTATATTATCTTACTGCATTGGTCAAGTCTTGGTCACAGCGTGGTATTTAGATCAGTGGTGGCGGTGTGTGTAGGTAGGGGGATCGGGGGTGGGGGGCATTTCTCTCCTGCCGGATTAGGTGATATATGATGAGTCTGGGGTCGGCCTGTACCGGTAGTATCTAGAGATACATTTTCAAATCGGGTCAGGTACTAAGTTCGGGGGAGGGAATTGGAGTGTGAAGACGGTTAGTATACCCTCTTCTCTCATTGCCTTGAATAGATCCACAGTATATACTGGTCCAGACCGCCATTGACAAATACCGGCCATTAATCTCAAATAACCTCGAGAGTAGGAGGGATGGAGAAGGGGAGGGACTCGAAAATCATATTTAACGGCTTTAATCAAGCTGATACAATATTAATAGTTCATTAGGTTGAATGTCAATCCGGTCCAGCATGTTACATAGTTAAACTAACTAATATATATACATATATACATATGCAAGTGTGAAGATCTGTCTAACTAATGAATTGTGTTTATATATATATATATACATGTATACCAGTTAATTGATGACATGACAAGTCCAAACATGTTCATCAAATAGCTGAATAAAGATACAGAACAATAACACAACAGATATAACACGGGATTTGTTTAACCATCACAGACTTAGATAACACATTCCGTGGTACCATATATAGAAATACAAAGCTTGAATCCTGACATTGTAATAACAATTTGAATAGATAATTACCGTCTAGTAAGCCGAGTTACACTGTACAACGTTCGGATGTGTCGAATAACTTTCTTTTTCCTTTTCCTCGAGTTATTTTTTCCGTTGTTTTCAGAATGATGGTTTGTTTGACAAAAAAGACACTTTCGGCAACCAAGATACATTGTAGTGCCAGTTGAATTGACAAGTATATGACTATTTCACTTCAATTCCCAATATAAGTAAAGTTAGATCCCGAAATTCGTAAAATGTAAAATCTGCTCAAAGGGTTTTCTATCCCTAATGTTAAATTAAAGCTTTTTTTTCTGCTGTACACACGCCGGTGTTTATATCTTAAACTGTCAATCGCTAGGGAAGGTCGGGGTCCTATTTAAGCGCCGGCCGGTATCTATTTATATAGCCGATGTAACTAACCGGCCAGTAGGTTTCACCATACACCGTAACTTATATACCATTGATTTTTACCTGGAAATGTCAGGTGTATATATGCAACACAGGTAGAAAATTTGCAGGTAAAAAACAATCAATAGCTTCAACTGCATAGGTAAGATATATATATATAACAGCTACGTAATACACGTGATAATTGAATGAAACTGTTCAATCAGAAAATTGGAATATCCAACTGGGCTATTTAAAATTATAAATTTTAGAAAAGTTTTATAAATAGTAACTTACTGTGATTTTGACGGCACATCAATGACGTGAGATACGGCCCTCTTTTTATCTCCTTGTACATTTAAATCGGCAAGTTTAGAATAATCAGTCGCCTGGTCAACGAGTCTCGCCGATTTCCTACTTTCCATCAGCCGTAGATCATCTATTTTCCGGATTAGCTCAATTCCGTCACCGCTCACTGTGGGAACAATTACAATGACCTCGTCCTGTGAGCGGTTATGTTCGGCAACAGAGCCCTGTACTTCTCGACCGTTTAACGTGAGATAGACTTTCTGTCCGTGCTTCAGTGTTAAAGACGATACATTGTTAAATCCAGGTCCCATGATATCGCTCACATTAACATCCCTCTGGTAACCGTCATCAAATCGAACTGTGTATTTTTGCTCCCTAAATAAATCCCCTTCGGCCGGGTGATTCTGAATGGTACCAGGGTAATATCGGCCATCTTGCCAAATGGCACATATTTTTGTCCCTATAATCGAGCGCTTTGCAAGTCTCCGATTCCCAAACATCATGAGTATATCACATCCAGAAAACCTAATTGTAATATTCACAAAGTTTCACATCAAAATATTCAGTAATTGTCCTGCATTAGTGTCACAAAAATCAGCTGGTCGATGTAAACATATGCCGGTATATTGCGCCGGTTTGTTATGGTGCTAGGGTGGGCGGAGTTAATTTTCCGGTATCAACAAAACCTCGTGATTACTATCATTGCATTCATTGGCTCGTAGAGACACACCTCCGTGTTTTCATTTGCCGAAGGAGTTTAACACCAAGGTCACGGTCGAAGATATATTTGACAATTTATGAAATTCATACAAACAGAATACTTTTTAATATATTGATGTATACAACTCACTTAAGTATACTCCCATATATCAAAATTTGTTAACGCCGATTAGAAAGTGTAGCTAAAACACGTAAATTTGGTAAAAATATTCGGTGTTGACGCCGAGGTGAATCTGTCAATCAAAAAAGTTGCATCACAATGTTTATAGAGAGTATGACTTACATATTTCCACCATTTATTTAACAGATAATATGTTGTTTTCTATATTATTTGGTTCAATAATTGTATTTATTATTTACTAAACATTACAATTGGTCATTATTTTACTCTTTCGTGGTAATAGAACGTTTCTATTTCCAAAAATAAAACGTGAAATATGCAAGTAAACATAAGTTGTCGAGGGAGTACAAATAGCAAACAGAAGAGCCATTGTTTATATCGCCCTAAAACGCGGTTGCCCACGTGACAACTGTCAAACTCCGAGAATGTAAGCAAATCCCACAATGCATTCAACAAAATGGCAGCCTCCAGTAACAGGTGCTTGTTGTCGGCTTCCAATTTTCTACACTTTCTTTTGACGTTAATTGTCGTATATTTTAGTTTGGACAGTGTTGGGTCTGTTGCTGATGAGATAACAGGTACAATTGTCTGGGATTGTCATATCAAAATGTTTCATGATAATCGCTTTGTGAAAATAAAACTTTTCGAGTTAGTCGTGCAAGATTCACTTACAACTGATTTAGCACAGGGGTTTGACGTTTTATCCATGTAACGGAATAATATACCGTATTCACTGTAATAAGCATTTCCCCTGCCCCCATAAGTGCCCTCCCTCTTTTTCTGGAGGAATGTAGGCTGCCGCACAGACCTTAATAGTACTTTTACTTTAAAGTAGAGATTTATGACTGGTGATCAAAAATATTTATTTCCAAAGAAGCAATTTTTATGAAAGTGGTGATTTTATTTAATATGCGGTGCATTTCTTTCCTGGTATTTTATATAAGTTATTTTTATATAGACTCTCAAGTCGATCCATATTACCCAAGTAATCTTTCGTAAAGGGCTTTTAACTTTCCTCAAAATGAATAAAGTATGGAAGTCGCTTAGTATACTCATGTCAAGACAATGTCAATAATTACCTTTGCAGAAATGATTTGTCGAAAATATTGTTGATTTTGTCTTGAAAAGTAAATTTGAATGCGGAATTTGAATGTCGCAAAATTGCAATGAATAATGAAATTAATGAAAAAACTTACCTGTACATGCATTCCTGAAGTGTCCATGTAGTGACTATTGTCGAGGAAAATGTGAGAAAATGCTTCAAATCTCGAGAATGATGACGTATTTTGATTGGATATTTTACAATAATTCATAAAGTTAACAAGACTTTTGATACAAGTCGAGTCATATTACCCGAGTGAGAACCTGTAGTGAATGGTGTACAGGTAAAATCTCACATTCTTTTTATGATTTTTTCCAACCTCAGTCAGCCTTGTTTGCCTAGTGCTCAGTTGTGATATATTCAGGGGAATATATATGCCATTATTCTGGAGATTTGACACATTTTCTTACATTTTTCTCGACAAATGCATCTCCATGGACATCCAACCTTATGATATTTACAAGTTTAAATGGATTTTTTCCTGAATTGTGACTTATATTCAGCTTGGAAAATGAACATATGAATAGTGAGTTTTTTCATCAGTTATTGAATATTTTTTCTGAAATTTAGTGTGCATGTAACCTTTATTATGTTTGAAAAATATTGAAGGAGGATTATTATGTGACACTGGATTTTTTAATGCTAACGGAACGCATTATTGTATTTGATAAACGGTTTGGTGTGGCAGTCATATTAGAATGTCCTTAAGGTTCTACAAACCCCTGTAAGAGGCTAAAGTCACCCTTAAGTTCACACCCAAAGTAAGTCCTATTAAAAACTCATTTTTCATTTTTAAGGAAAACAAAACAAAGTCGCTTTTAAAAGAAGATTGTATAATAAGGTTGATAACAAAAGACATTAAATATAAGTATTCTTTTTATAAAATAATGATGTGAAAAAATCAGAAATTTTACATTTATGAAAAATGAAAATAAACATCTAACTGTATGCTTTTTGTAGTCACCATTACCAAAAACCATATTGTTTTATGCGACTTTGCTTTAATTTAATGAAAATTGAAATATGAGAAAATATAGCTCAATACAGCTATAATTTATAGGTGTATATAGCTATATAGGTCTTTAAAGCTATATAGCTCAATTGGCAGAGTGTACTGGACCTGTTAAGGGAAACTATATAACTAGCATCTTTCAGGGGGGCTTGTTGAACCTTTATGATGCTTTTTGGTTTGGTCCAGAGACTGGTCCCTTGCGGTTAGTTTCAATTTCCTACTGGAAATTTCAAATGAGAGGCTTTTAACTACCAAACTCTAGTTTCCTCTTACTTCCCAGAAAGAAGTCATCTTGGGTGTTTCCAGGGTAACAATAATGCTCCTTAGAGCAAATCAGAGTAATTTTTGTAATTTTCGGGGCCCTATTCTTGGCACCGATGCATAAGTGTCAACCTCTGAAGCCTCCAATGAGAGGGAAAGTGTTTCAAGTTATCTTTCCCTTTTTATGCATCAAAATAACTCCAAAAAGCATTAACTTTATTCAGACACATCTGTTATGATCATTACACACACCCTGCAGTAAGTAGGAGATCATTTGACCAAAGAATGTAGGTTTTGAGTTTGTGTGAGTTGGACTTTAATGAGGAAGTTTCGAGGGAGATTGGTAAATTTTGGTCAAAATGAGGGAGTCAGTCTCCTAATGAGGGAGCTTTGACAGCTATGCCAATGCAGGGATAGTCCTGGAGGGGGTCATGGGGCCATTGACCCCTCAAAACTAGATTAACTCTTAATTTAATATTGACTAAAAATTGCTAAATATGGCCCACTGCTCTCTAATTCGAGGATTTTCCCTGCCAATGTAACACAGGTCGTTGTTTATGTTGTGACCGTATTCACTGTAATAAGCATTCCCCATAAGTGCCCCTCCCTCTTTTTCTGGAGGAATCAAAACTATGTAGACCATTGTCGGATCCAGAGACCTATCAAGGGGGGTTTCCAAATTTCCAGGTGGGGTGGGGGTGGGTTCCTGAAGCCCAAAAAACTCCACTGGATCCGCCACTGTAGACTGTCTCTCAGACCTGATGACCGATGATATATAACAATATTTTCAATATAGTATACCAACACAATATTTTTTTGGGAAGTTACAATACACTTATAATATTTTCAGAATTTTGTCGTGTCTGAATTTAGTCTACTCATATCGGTTCCAACATGGCTATTGACCGCTCCAGCTCGGCATGCACGTCGAAAGGCATGAATTGTGTGAAACTTCAAAGTCATGCCCATTTTGGACCGAGTCTTTTTCCAGTTGTAATAATTTGCCATTAAAAAATTGCAACATTTCTTTTTTTCTTGCATCTTCTGTTACCATATGTATCGTGATAGGTATGGTATCATCATGTTAATGATCCAACACTAGTGAGCAGCCACGGAGGCCAAGTGGTTAAGGCATCTGACATCTGCTACCACTAGCCCTCCACCACTGGGTCGCGGGTTCAAGACCTACGTTTGGCAGTCGCCAGGTACTGGCCGTTGGTTTTCTCCGGGAAGTCCGACTTTCCTCTACCATCAAAACCTGACACATCCTTAAATGACCATAGCTGTTAATAGGATGTAAAACACAAACAAACCAACACTAGTAGGAAGCAGTAATTGTTACTATTTTCCAAGGCTGTTTAGCAATCCAGTGTATGTTGTTCTATAAAGACAGAAAGTCACATCCACACCTGCCAAGGCCAGGGTGCTGTGTTATAAGTGAAGATATTGGTGGCTGATACTGTAGCCCTTTGCCTCATGAATACAATATATAGAGCTACCATAGTACTAATATTAATTCCCAGCCTCCTTTGACAACAATGAGGGCCATGGTGGCCGAGTTCTGCTACCATTAGCCAATCACCACTTGGTCGTGGGTTCGAGGCCTACATACCTGGGGCAGTCGCCAGGTACTGGCCGCAGGTCGGTGGTTTATCTCTGGGTACTCTGGCTTTCCTCCACCACCAAAACCTAGACCATATCTGTAAATATAGGATGTAAACCGCAAACAAACCAAACCAAATTGACAATGCAATATATTAAAATTGTCTCATTATCAGGAGCTTCGTTGTTGCATGATTTTGTAAGGAACATTTTTATGGATATTTACAGTAATACTTCTGTTTTCAGATTACCTGCTATGTCGGAAGTGTGGACATGAAGTCGTTCGAGCTGCAAACTTGATCAACATTCCAAGCAAAGTGGCACTCAGACAAAGAAATTCTACATTTGGTGGTGTCCCAGAAATTCTTATTCAACAATTTAAAAATCCACATGGTAAGTAATAAAACCTTCAAACGATATGGTCACTTCTTATGACCAACACAAATGTGCTTACTTCAAAGTTATTAAAAAATTATGAGAACAGTATATAAACCAGTGTCATGATCAGTTTGTTTGCACCACATGAACCAATGCTTTATTTAGTATGTTTTTTTGTACATAAACCAGTGTTTGTTCAGTATGCTTTTAGAACATGAACCAGTGTATGTTCAGTAAATGTTCAGGACATGAACCAAAGCTATATTCAGTATGTATTCAGGACATGAACCAGTGCTTGTTTAATATGTGTTAAGCATATGTTCCAGTGTTTGTTCAGGAAATGTTCAGGACATGAATCAGTGTTTGTTCAGTTTGTATTTAGCACATGGACCAGTGTCGTTCAGTATGTACTATATATAGTAAATAAGCACATGAACTAGTACTTGTTCAGCATGTTTTCAGAACATGAACCAGTGCTTGTTCAGCATGTTTTCAGCACATGAACCAGTGCTTGTTCAGCATGTTTTCAGCACATGAACCAGTGTTGTTCAGTATGTACTATATATAGTATATAAGCACATTAACTAGTACTTGTTCAGCATGTTTTCAGCACATGAACCAGTGCTTGTTCAGTATGTACTTTATATAGTCTAAGCACATGAACCAGTGCTTGTTCACTTTTTGTTCAGCACATGAACCAGTGCTTGTTCAGCATGTTTTCAGCACATGAACCAGTGCTTGTTCAGTATGTACTTTATATAGTCTAAGCACATGAACCAGTGCTTGTTCACTTTTTGTTCAGCACATGAACCAGTGCTTGTTCAGCATGTTTTCAGCACATGAACCAGTGTTGTTCAGTATGTACTATATATAGTATATAAGCACAAGAACTAGTACTTGTTCAGCATGTTTTCAACACATGAACCAGTGCTTTTTCAGCATGTTTTCAGCACATGAACCAGTGCTTGTTCAGCATGTTTTCAGCACATGAACCAGTGCTTGTTCAGTATGTACTTTATATAGTCTAAGCACATGAACCAGTGCTTGTTCACTTTTTGTTCAGCACATGAACCAGTGCTTGTTCAGCATGTTTTCAGCACATGAACCAGTGCTTGTTCAGTATGTACTTTATATAGTCTAAGCACATGAACCAGTGCTTGTTCACTTTTTGTTCAGCACATGAACCAGTGCTTGTTCAGCATGTTTTCAGCACATGAACCAGTGTTGTTCAGTATGTACTATATATAGTATATAAGCACATGAACTGCTACATTCAGTATGTATTCAGGACATGAACCATTGTTTGTTCAGTATGCTTTTAGAACATGAACCAGTGTATGTTCAGTAAATGTTCAGGACATGAACCAAAGCTATATTCAGTATGTATTCAGGACATGAACCAGTGCTCCATTCAGTATGTATTCAGGACATGAACCAGTGATACATTCAGTATGTATTCAGGACATGAACCAGTTAAACATTCAGTATGTATTCAGGACATGAACCAGTGCTTGTTTAATATGTGTTAAGCATATGTTCCAGTGTTTGTTCAGGAAATGTTCAGGACATGAATCAGTGTTTGTTCAGTTTGTATTTAGCACATGAACCAGTGTCGTTCAGTATGTACTATATATAGTATATAAGCACATGAACTAGTACTTGTTCAGCATGTTTTCAGAACATGAACCAGTGCTTGTTCAGCATGTTTTCAGCACATGAACCAGTGTCATTCAGTATGTACTATATATAGTATATAAGCACATGAACTAGTACTTGTTCAGCATGTTTTCAACACATGAACCAGTGCTTTTTCAGCATGTTTTCAGCACATGAACCAGTGCTTGTTCAGTATGTACTTTATATAGTCTAAGCACATGAACCAGTGCTTGTTCACTTTTTGTTCAGCACATGAACCAGTGCTTGTTCAGCATTTTTCAGCACATGAACCAGTGCTTGTTCAGCATGTTTTTAGCACATGAACCAGTGCTTGTTCAGCATGTTTTCAGCACAAGAACCTGTGCTTTACTTAAACGAATGACCTCTTCTGCTCAGTACATATGTATACTTTTCACTTATTTTTCAGATAATTCTTTTGAAGTTATAACAACAAGAAAAGCAGATGTTTTAGAAGATTTACAAGTAAGTCTTAACTAACAAGTCCTCTACTATATATATCTGTGTACACGACACAAAAAAAATTCTTTCAGGTACCATGACCAACCTTAGTTTTCACCTCAGACCTGAATAATTTGATCTCAATCAAATGCACTGAAATATCCTGGTCTTGCCCAACATATGGGACACTGGATGTAGGGTATAACTATTGCGATCTTAATCTGTAAGTCATACATTTTCAATTTCTTCCCAAGAACAACTGTAGGGATTTGAACAAATTGTGGACATATAAATCACAATAAGAACTCCATCCAGTGTTTATATAACTTGTCCACCGTATGCAAACAAATTGATAGACCAACAAAAAAGACAACTATATATGTGTACCGTCTCTACTTTATAGGCGGGTATCAAAACCAAATTTAACCCTTTCACCACTGTAGACCAAAATGGACTCAACCAGATCAATGCATGGTATAGTCGACTAAAGTTATATAGGGGTGAAAGGTTTAAAGACCTAAAAAAAATAATGAAAAATGAATACTGGTCTGAATAACTTCAGCATATTTGATGATTTGGTGACCAAGAACCTCTGAATTCAAACCACCAGCAATTATCTCATTCACCCCTGAAATTTAATAATGAACTATTCCAATCTTTGAATTGGAAGAGTTCAAATGTGTCTGTAGGGGTAAATAATTTAGCACAGCCAAGGTTCACTAAAAGTGTCACTACATGAGGCAATATGACAAACAATTAAATGAATATCCAAAGTACATGTATATAATAGTCGTAGACATGGCAGTCTTTTCATTAAAAAAAATTTCCGGATCTTGATTATTTAACTCATTCACCCCTACATATCTGAACTGGACTTAACCATTCTTTGATTTGGTAAGGTGTAAATGTGACTTTAGGGGTGAAAGGGTCAAAACTATGCTGATTTCCATACAACAACAGAACTATATTTGATGGTCATTGTTATATTGTTATCTTTCAGAAATACAGTGATGACACGTGGTTCCCTAATTACAGCTGGTGGATAACCAAGTGTCCGCACTGTGGTCAACACATGGGATGGTGAGTGTACTGCGATAGCAATAACTCTTTTTCTTCCACCGCTGTGATGAAGTCAGAGTTATACATATAGTACTCACTTTGTCCTTTCGTCCATGCATCTGGCCGAGCTGATGATGATTTCTGGACCAAAACTCAGCTGCTATTTCATGAATGGGCATCAAACTTTGTAGAAACATATAGGTATATTGTTGAATGGCAGTGTGTCACATCCAAGAACGAGGTCACTGTGGCCTCAATTTGACCTTCGACTTTAACAAGTTCTCACAAAATAGTTTCCTGAACATATCATGGAAAAGCGATGTGTTGCATCCAAAAATGAGGTCACTGTGACCTCAATTTAACCTTTAACCTTGACCTCGAGTACTAAATTAAGTGAATTACAGGTTTCTGCAGCACATCTAAGCCTCTGTTTCATGAATGGACTCAAAACTTTGTAGATATGCGGGGAGCAGGAGTATCTTTGAAGCACATGCTTCAAGTTAAATCTAGTATTATTACATATGTAACAGGAAAGAGAATAGTGTGCTTCTAACGGGGATCGAACCTGCGATCCTAGGTTCCTGGTCAGACGCTCTACCACTGAGCTAAAGGGAAATTCCCTATAGCTCAAAGCTAGAAAGCTACCATTATCCTTTGTACAATTAAAATCTGCCACAAATATACCGGTATATCTTTTGCAATTTTGACTGAATTCCTTCTCTCAAAGTGCAGAACAGGGCCATGCAAGGCACATCAACAACTGAGATATATCTCAAATTTGATTTACTTAGTAGCACAACCAGTGAAGTAAACCATCACATTTAAACTCTTCACTGGTCGTGCTATGCAAACCTGTGTATAACACTAGCTTGCCAGTACTTTGAGGTTCTATCTAATATTTCAGGACATACAGAATAAATAGCCAGGGAACGTCAACAGACGGCAGACCAGAACAGTTTTATGGCCTTGTTTTAGACAATTTACTGCCTCAACAAGGTAGGCCTGATCAATTCTACGAACAGTTATGGGAGAATACGATGCCCTTTTCCTTTATCGTTAACTACTCTTTGCAGTAGAGGAATCGTTACAGGAAGATCTTACATTTATTTGGTCATTGAACATGATTTGCTGTTGTCAATTAATCAGTTTATTAGCGTAACTAACCAACAGTCGACAAAGTGTTGATGTTCTGTTGGAATTTTATGAACTGGTTGGTGGATGTGGCGGTTTGGGCGAACCCATATGCGCCAGTCGCTCTTATGTGTTGGTTTCGTTGCCCCACATTCTGGTGTTTTTTGTCGTGGGAGGGCGATCGGAAGGGGCCAAGAAGTTTACATAGGAATTATTTTTATTTTTTGCAAAAATTACATAATAATATAAAAATATTTTTAAAAAAAAGGATTTATTTTTACTGTTTTCAAGAATGTGATTATTGAGTATATTCATGTACAAATAGGAAAGTATTATTGTGTGTGTTTTGTGCCCAGGTCTAATACAGCCAGTTACACCCGACAGTCGAGGACTTCTCTGCTTCTGTTACGTACAGTACATAGTCCTTTTGCCGGGCTTGGCTGATTGCATAGATTATCAGGGGAGTCCCTATAATGAGTGCAATTTTAAATTTATAATAGTGTATGTATTTCCCAAAAAAATCATAAGATTTTATAATAAGATCGATAATTGTTTTAAGGAAATTTATAGTGAGATCCCCCATGTTGTGACTGCTAATAAATAATGTGACCAGAGTTCAATAAATCGCCTCCATTTAAACACTTCATTTTTTAAACCCTTTCACAACTGTAGACCATAATGGACCCCTCCATATCAATGCATTTAAGAGTCTACTAAAGTTACATAGGGGTGAAAGGGTTAATCTGTTATTTATTTATAGTCCTTGGTAACCATGAACAGGTTTGGAAGTAAAATTATGCGAATGACAATGCCGCAGTAGGAGCTTGAAATACTGTATACCCGGACACTTCCGCCCAGTGTAAATATTCGCCCAGTGTAAATATTCCCCCAGTGTAAATATTCCCCCAGTGTAAATATTCGCCCTTTGCCAATAAAGTCCATCTTTGCCCAGTGTAAATTTTGCCCATAACATGTAAATACTGTAAATTGTATGTAATATTAACTGTCATGACAAATTCACGCTCATTGGGCGAACAAGGCGTAAGTTAAACTGGGAGGAACATTTCCCTGTATACAATAGGTATCAGGATACTTCTGTTGCTTAAAGGTATTGTTAGTATCTAGCAAGGAGGTTAGGCCTGAAATCATGAATAACTCTACAGAAAACTCCATAATGTCTACATGCAAGTATTCCGACTTAAATCAATCATGAATTCTATAATCAATTTATCAGCCTAACTAACAAATAGTTAACAAGGTTGATTAATTGGAACACCGTTACTTTTGTGGACAACTCGTACACATTTTACACCTTTTTGTGCATATGCTTCACTGGTCATTTGTCTGATGAAGATGACAGTGTACGTACGCTTCACTGGTCATTTGTCTGATGAAGGTGACAGTGTACATACGCTTCACTGGTCATTTGTCTGATGAAGGTGACAGTGTACATACACGTCACTGGCCCTTTGTCTGATGAAGGTGACAGTGTACATACGCGTCATTGGTCATTTGTCTGATGATGGTGACAGTGTACATATCGTACTAGTCATCGAAACGTCACATAAAAAGTTGTATCGGTTGTGTAAAAAGAGCTTCTCATAATCCATACTTACTAACCTGAAGAAAATGTTTAGAAACACCACTACTTCATAGCTTATTTGGTTGTCATGGAAGTGCATGTATTTTTTTACAAATATCGCTTCTTGCTATGCTAGATATTTCTTGTTTAGGAAAAGTTAATTTATGAGATGCTCCTTGTTCTTTTCAGAGGCTGAAACATTAATCCACTTTCCAAAGGCCTATGGATTTTGATCAGATTACTGGACCAAAGTTCTGAGACTATGCAATACAGACAATTCTCGAAATAATTAAAAGTAATAATACTATGGTATTTAAGTATGGATGCTGTAAATGAACCTTTTTTTATCATTTTCAAACAGATGCATTGCATCATATATCTCTGCCAATTTTCAGTTTTTGAATTTTTATTTTGTGAATGACTAAACTCAAAAGTGTATATCTTCCAAATCAGATTACAAATTTGGAGATATTGATGCAGCAATATTATTAAATTCTATTTTACTGAAATCATCTGACAAGAAAAATATTAGGGTAATAAAGGGGTTTTGCAATTTAAATTTGGGAAATGTATGAAGGAATTTTCATAAGAACATGAGGAAAAAGTACCTTGGAATACAATTGTATGTTGGCGGAACGCAAGGTTGTAAATGGAGGTTGAACTGTACATTCATATCCAAATGTATTTGTTGATGATGTTTTTGTTGCTTGCATGTTCAAGGTAACTTTACTTGATTTGAAAAATGAAACAGATTTGGAAGGTTTAACTGTGTGTTCATATCCAAATGTATTTGTTGATGATATGTTTTTTTTTATGTTCCTGGTAACTTTACTTGATTTTAATCAGCAAAGTGAAACAAAATCTGGGGGAAAAATTGCAGAGAAATACAAGCAACCATGCCCATAAACATTTCTTACCTTGGAAAAAGGGAGGTTTTTGGTGATCAGAGGTCAGCATTGCTCCGACATGACATAGTGACAGATATAGACTATTGATGATACAAGCACCTGGATCACAATGTAGGTAGATAAAGATAAACTTTATTTATTTTACAACGATTATGAAACAAGTTGTTACAACTTATGCTAATCACTGTCGTTGGCCCAGATTTTAGGGGGCCAAGTGGTTAAGGCAGCTGCCATTCTGCTACCACTAGCCCTCCACCACTGGGTCGCGGGTTCGAGGCCTACATGGAGCAGTCGCCAGGTTACTGGCCGTAGGTGAGTGTTTTTTTCCCTGGGAACTCCTGCTTTCCTCCATCACCAGAGATGGGGGGGGGGGGGGGGGGGGGNTTACTGGCCGTAGGTAGGTGTTTTTTCTCTGGGAACTCTGGCTTTCCTCCACCACCAAAACCTGTCACGTCCTTAAATGACCATAGCTGTTAATAGGACGTAAAACACAAACAAACCAAACTGAATTTTAGCGTGCACAAGGTCTTCTTGTAGGAGGAAACTGTAGTACCCGGAGAAAACCCACGTGGTCAGGCAGGTGACCCCATATCTTTTCACGTCCTATCAGGAAATCGAACCACAACTTCATTGGTGAAAGGCAAGTGTGCCCACCCAATGTATGTAGATCTACACATTAATAGACACAGTACATTTACAATAATTAGTTCGTATTCTAAACCTTCTGGTCAACATAAGAGTAGCCATTCTCAAATTTCAAGAAGTTAATTATTATCACTAACATTATGTGCACCCCATGAACATGGAAGAGCCAATCAATTTTACCGTTACACTGTTGCATGATTCATTTAATGTACAGTAAGGGATCAAATTAGCCTACTTGTATCATCCTCAAGGTAGCATGTACAGACCTAATATGGGTTAGTTCCCCTCTCCAATTTTGGCATTTTTTCCCCCTATTTCAGCTTTATTTCCCCCAATTTGAGTTTAAATACTACCACATAAATATCTGTCTTGGTTCCATTTTTCCACAACTGAGTGATTTATTTCATTTTCCCTATGTTGATATTAATTGTAGCTGCTGATATTTTATAAACTAGAATGAACAGCGGGAAAGAAAAATTAAAGATGTAATCCATGCATCCCTCTCGTGCTCTCCCCCTGGCTCAAGCCTGCCCCCGTCTGGTACCCTCCCCGTGGCTCTGGCCTGCAGTCCTCGCTGGACGGGTCATGCACCAACAGCACATATTTTCCCCCATTTCAAAAAAAGTGTTCTAACTTTCTATTGCATTAATCCCTGCTTTGGTTTGGTCATGACATACACCAGGGGTGTTAAGAAGAATTTTGAGAATGCAGAGTAAAATGGATTTTATATTGAGTTTATTAATTTTATAAGTAACATTGAAGGATGACAAATCATAAGTGGCCTGTCCAGATCTAAATAACCAAATATCATCAATAGACAGTTTATCAATTTGGTCATGTCCAGCATATCAGATTGATGATAGTTGTAGCCTGGAAATTATTTTTTTCAAAGACTTCATGGTATTTTTTTGCTTGGCGATTTTGTGCGGTGTTGGGTTTCTTTGCCCGAACTCATTTTCCCAATCCTGGTTTTTTTCATCTTAAAATAAACATTTCAAGCCTGTCAAGTCATATATTTAGTTAAATATAAAGTCCTCATTCATCTCTTTAGCTTACCATCATAAAATGGTAGGCTGATCAAATGGCCCTTCGTCCTTGGTCTGTCCTCTGTCCTTACCAATTCTTGTCCTCACTATTACTCATAAGGTACTGACCAGATCTCTCCCCTTGGTCTATATTAGTCCATGTCATTTTAGCACTGATAGGGAAAAAAAGATGGCCACCAAGCTGCCATCTTAGGTTTTCACAATGTAAGTTTGTTATTGCTATTTCTCAAGTACAATCGTAGTAGTATACAATGATCACACTTTGAAATGACACTCTCAAATCTAGCTGTGTGAAATTTTAATCAAAAGCTACCACTAAATGTATTTACTGTTGACAGGACTATCAATCCAACAACATAAGAGAAAAAGAAACGAGTTGAAGAGAAATATCAGTCTTACACATAGGACGAACAAAGGTCCTACGTTTGTAGGCGCCAAGATTCCTCTAGGATATCTTGTTTGTTATTAAACAATTTCAACCGTACAGTTTTTAGGGCGAAACAATCCAGATTCTTTTGTGCCATAGATCATATTATATAGGTCATTTTTATAAAGACTTTGCGTATCATTTATTAAGGTGGACAAACACAATATGAAAAATAGACCATCACTTACACTGTCAAACCTTGCGTCCATCTTAACTCTTTCACCCCTAAGTAACTTTAGTAGAGTAGACTCTCCCATGTATTGATATCATATGGATGAGTCTATTATGGTCTACAGTGGTAAAAGGGTTAAGACAGTTCCTTTTAAAGTCTTGTCTTCAACATTATGGCATAATGCAATTACTAATATTATAGAAATTTATTAAGTGATTTTCACCTAGAACTTTGGTAATATTATCTTCCCTCATGTTATTGATGGCAATCATTAATATAATGGAAATGTATTTAGTGTTTGATAATGTTATTACCCTCATAAAGTTATGGATTTCAGTCAACAGGAATTTATTCAGTGTTGTTTCACCTAGAACTTTGATAATGTTATTATCTCCCCTTATGTCAATGATTATATTTATGTTATTAAAAGACTTTTTACAGTCATCGCCAGAAGATGGCTTCAGTGTTTTAAAACATAAGTGATGGTGAACTCAATGTGCCTTGTTTTGACACTCTACGTTCGTTGGACATGTATGTAAATCTATAGAATTTATTTTTATTTTCTGTAAACCTAAATATATACCAATGTATTATGTAAACATATATTTATTTGGGGTAAGTTGACATTTGAAAAAAAATTAAAAAAATTTGAATCAACATTTTCACTGTATAAAAATCTGCAGTTCAAAGCATAATAATAATTAAGTTTTATTAATTTAATGTTTTTCATATGTACATCTTTATGTAAACCTATTTATATATTATGTTAATCTATGAAAATATATATATTTTTTCAATAATTGCTATACAATGAAGTTACCTTTGCTAATAAAGAAATGAAAACAAGTTACCTCCCTTTAGACCATATTGCACCTTGCATGAACTTCAATTTTACTTTACATATATCAACATTACACAGTGCGGAGACACAGGGACCTGATGATTTGTTACTGCTTTATTTGGACCTAAACTTAGTTTAGGCACAAATAAAGCTGTAACAAATTCTCAGGTCCCTGCGTGTGGAGACTCATGCGATCTCTAATGCAACAGTTCACGAAAAATCGTGAGAATTTTTTGAGGCAAAATGTGAAATCCCTTTCTCTTACATAATGATACACATAGCCCTATTTCATCGCTAGTAGGGGTTCATGGGGATTATGTTTGAAACCGACTTGCGTTCATATCGGCATAAACATTGCAAAAATGCGGTTCATTCCTAATGTGTTACAATGATCTTATAATATGTTGAGCCACCGAATTGCTATCCAAGTCGTGGATAAGTCAACTATCACTTACTATTCTGATTATGATTCATTCCAAATTTTATTATATTATGTGACCACACGTTAATATTCCACAGACATAAATATATACGAGACATGTTAGTTACTATATGACTATATGAAATATATTATGAGATTTTTTTTACTGTCCATCGTTGGAAGGGAAATGTTATTTTGTGAACGTTAATAAAGATTTTTAAGTCTTGCTGATTAAAATAGTTGTGAATATTATTTTCAGATTATCAATGAGAAATGAGAAATTCTAATGAAGAAAAACACGATCCTTAAACCTTGAGACTCCCAACTGGTGTAAAATGCAGACAGCTGTCATTTAAATGCCATTTTGAGCCAATATTATGAAACGGTTTCCATATATTTCTACAAATAATCGGCATGTTTTCTGAAGAGACCATCCTGGGAAAATGATCACCTACACAATAACTGTAAAAGGTAACATCTCTGTTTTGTCCATGAGCAACTTTTCACAATTAAGTGTCGTTGGAATCACGTGAAGATTGCACAACGGAAGATGCATATTTCGTTTGTATTCTTCAATGCTTATATTGTCTGTGGTCTGTCAAAGCTTACATGTCTGGCACGGTACATATTTAGCTCTTGAGCAATTAAATAGTTTCAAACTCATGAAATCCGGACGTCTCATAATGTTACTCGATGTTATAAAATAAAAGAGATAAAAGAGACGAAAAGTTAATGATGATATATCGCCGACTTTTATGCATACAAGGAATAATATTTACAATGGCATGGCTTTGTTTCAAGATAACCTTATTGAAAGCTGTTTCATTGATCAATGAGTGCGCATTATGTTGTTTACTTGCAAAGCTGTGCCATTCAAATAGATCATAAATGCCATACAAAAACAGTTCAATGCTTAATTAAGTCATGAAAATGGAGCTTTACAGAAGAAAACGTGGTTCCTAAATACTTTTAAGTTAATCATTATGTGAGTAGACGTGAAACAGTGAATAATAAGCTATATACTAAGTTCTGCAAAATATGGAAATTTGCAGTGGTTTTGAAATCTATATATATCATCCATATAATCTACGAATAAAAAAGTCTTGTTTCGATATTTTCGCGCCATTTTACGCAAAGAACGCCAGCATTTCACCTTTACAGTACCTATCGGTTTGATTAAGGTGTTTAAGGCAATTCCAGATTTCCTATTTGAAAGTGAACAAAGGAAGAACTCATAACCGTACCTGCTTCCTTGTTGTATTGCTGGTTACGTATAGTTAAGAATTATGCTCCTTTACCTTTGGGTTTAATGACTTGACCAACGAAAAAGAACTCTAGCTAGATAAAAACCCAATGTGCTACATGAATAATCAACGAATTGTCAGCATGGACGTCAATCAGGATATTTCTTGTCAATTCAATGCTGAGTCCCTTTGATAGAATATTAGCTGCTTCCTACATATGTACCGGATCGGCTAGGGAGAGCTGTATAGCTCAACCAAGACTAGTAAACTAGGTGGCCGTGGTGGCCAAGTGGTTAAGGTGTCTGACATTCTGCTACCACTAGCCCTCCACCACTGGGACACAGGTTGGAGGCCTACGTGGGGCAGTCGCCAGGTTACTGGCCGTAGGTCAGTGGTTTTTTTGTCTGGGAACTCCTGCGTTCCTCCACCACCAAAACCTGGCACGTTCTTAAATGACCATAGCTGTTAATGGGACGTAAAACACAAACAAACCAAACCAGGTTTGATTCCTAGCGGAATTGTGAACAAATAATGACCTCTTACATTGGCGCCCACGTAGTGACCCGGGAAACATGACAAACTACTCAGCGATACTTGCAAAGGAATCGCTATGATCCCTTGAAAACTCGGGACCAACCTTCCTGGAGGGGGAGTATTTTAGTATTTTAATGTAACACGGGTCATTATTTTTCAAGCCTGCGCTAGGAGTCGAACCTGGACCTCTGATTTACTTGTCTTACGCTCTACCGAATGAGCTAACAAGAAATTATCCCTAGCCGAGACGGTAGGAAGATGCTAGTATTTTACCAGAGTGACATATACAAGACACGCTCAAGTCTATCGACTACAGTTATCTTTATGACCATCCTCGAAATTCAAGGATTCCGCTTTCTAAAAAACATCTTTTTTAAACCTCTGGAATATGTCATGACACAATCGATGCATTTTTACGTGACATCTCGCGAACGTTACAAGTAGACTAGTTTGATGTCTTCGATGAAGATCCAAGGAATCGCGCGGTAGCGTAACGGTAAAACCGACAGACTAAAGTTGCAGCGCCGCTGTACAATCCTCAAACGACAGGTATCAGCCTAGAAATCAATTCAAAGGCTTACTGCAAGCGTTCCATTTCGTCACGACAAATTCCATGGGGATGTTACAAGTAGACCAGTCTAATGTCTTTGATGAAGATCCAAGGAATCGCACGGCAGTGTAACGGTAAAATTGACAGGTGCAGTTATCAGCCTAGTGGTTAGTCAGGCTTTTATAAGCGTTCCATTTCTTCATGATAAATTCCTTGGGAGCAGAGAAGATAGCAACACTCAGCAGATAGACACACTTAAGTCCCACATAGTAATATTACTATAGTCAGTCAATTAATTTGCGTTGCTACAAAACATTTTAGTGAAAATCAAACGCTAAAAATGAATTAAGATGAAGAATAAAATTACTCCTTTAGCATACACAACTATAGTCGACTTGTTGGTTTGGTTTGTGCTTTACGTCCTATTAACAGCTATTGTCATTTAAGGACGTGCAAAGTTTACGTGGTGGAGGAAAGCGGAGTACCCGAAGAAAAACACCGACCTGCGGACAGAAACTAGGTACTGCCCGACATAGGCCTCAAATCAGCGACCCAGTTGTGGAGGGCTTGTGATCGTAGACGGTGAGACGCTCTAACCACTCGGCCACCGCGGCCCTAATATGGTCGAACCGAACACATGGTAACCGACAACCTAAAAATATATATATTATATTGCGACTCAAGAAACGTCACTGAGTTACTTATAAGGGACGAGACCTGTGTGTATTATTTTGAACCCCATAGGTGCATTACGTATAAAAAGCGCCAAGAAAAACGTATGCCATTGATTTCAATTCTAGTAGGCCTGTGGTTCAGATACCGTGCAAGGAGAAAACTATCACTGTTAAGTTTTACAGAGACAAACTACTGAAACCTGTCAAATGATTAAAAAAGGCATAACCAACTAATTCATGGCAATGACTCATCCAACAATAGCAATATTGCACGGACATTTTTGAATCAAAAGAAGGTAGCACAGATTGACCACCCATATCCTTTTCAGCAGATCTAAGTCCCTGTATCCTCGATATCCATGGGCTACGCTCACTTTCGTTCTCTTCACCCCTGGAATATATCATAGCAAAAGCGAAGGCTCAATGTGCACAACCTTATTGGCGAGACGACAAGACTAGTTTGATCATTTGATGTACATCGAAAGAATCTCGCGGTCGCGTAACGGTAAAACTTACTGGCTTTGAAGTCGGGCGTCGCTCTTCTGTAATCTTCAAAGGACAGGTATCAGCCTAGCGATTGATCATTTGTTTTTAATCTGAGACCAATCAAATAGCTAGCCGCGTGCCATCAATTTTGCTTTGACATATTCCAGGGGTGCAGAGAGCGAAAGTGATAGCGGTGTGTCTGCAAGCAAAGCATCCAACTTAATCCTCTCCACATCCATTTTCCTGAAGTCGAAAGGCCAAAATGGTGTAATTTCACCATATTGCTTTAACAACTTCCTGAAACTATAATTTTTTGGGCAATCACATGTGATAGAGATTCAAAATTTCGCTAATAATGGACTTTGTCTTTCGGAGACTGAGGGGGCGATCTAATGGGTTTAAAACTTGAGACGGTGCCGCATGTGTGGCGCAGGTAATTTTAGTTTAAACACATTTTATTGCCATAAACTCAGAAAAATATTGGTCACAAGTTACATGAACATTATTATCGCCCTTTCCTTACAATTTTATAAAATATATATGTACATCACAAGATGGCTAAACATCAATATATATATATAGTAGAAAATAAATAAATAAGACCTTGCGAAGGAAAATATAGAATAAAAACAAAAATCTTTCAGATCGTCCGCTAGGCCTTTCTGCCTTCTAGGGCTTCTTCAGGCGGATTGATGTTTATTATTAATGTTAATAAACATCAATCTGCCTAAAGAAGCCCTAGAAGGCAGAAAGGCCTAGCGGACGATCTGAAAGATTTTTGTTTTCATTCTATATATATATATAGACGTCTCCACTGTGACGTCCGCGCCGGGAAGGGTCCATCATATGACTGGACATACATATGTAATAAGTACATGTAATTAAATAGTTACGCACAACCTCGCCCGCACTGTCACGATCATACAGATTTATATATTGTATACTGACTTTTTACACGGGTGAAAAACGCGAGATAATTTCATACATGTATAAAAGGGATACCGCACACATACTATTGGTTATATCACGGAATTAGATTGTTATCTAAGTCTGTGGTGATATGTATTGGCAAACTGCATAAGGTGGGAGAAGAGGGGGTTGGATCGGGAGAAGGGTTGGAGATCGGACTATAGTTAGGAAGACGTGACTTAGGACGTGTGGAGGAACTGTCGAGTTCAAAAAAATATCTTAAACATGAGAATGTTAGTCAGACATATTGATAATTCAATATTTGTCAATACAATGGTTTCAATACAACATTTGTCAATACAATGGTTTCAATACAACATTTGTCAATACAATGGTTTCAATACAACATTTTGACAAATCTTTATCATACTTTATAATTGGTCTTGTGATTTTTTTTTTCATTTTCTTTTTTTTCTTCGATTTCACATGCTCAGTTACGGTTACCAGAGAAGTATTTACTGCTGAATTTATCGCTGATGTTACACAGAATGTAGATTTCACCCCACAAAGTTATTCAAATAAATGCTTTATGCATTTTCATTATTTTCGTTGTCCAAAATAGCTAGGTCGAAATCCCCTCCCCTTTTGTTGATATTGACAGATTTATTCTGTCATACAATTAACGTACATTGTAGATTTTTTTTACTATATGATGTTATACCTATCTGTACGTTGTTTAGATAATAAAAACAATATCTGATGAAAAAATAAATCAAAATCAATTTTATTTCGCCGCTGCGCCTCGAACCCCCATGCTAGAATCCGTGCATAACTTAGACTGCTAATCGCATGTCACGATTTTATTCACTGCGGAGGTCGAATTAGTACTATTCAAGATGGCGGACGAAGGTAAACAATTTTGACTCGCTTGACATTTTTCTGAATTTTAATCGATTTTGTTATCAGTGTGTTGACATCAACTTCAATTTAGTGTAATGTCGATAATCGTCAATCAAATGCTTTGTAGTTATGGTATATTTATACCTTTTTTTGTGATGTTACATTTCAAACGTGCAGTGGACAGGTTGATATATGTTCGGGCCGGCATTTCGGTAGCTAAGGCCACACATAAACATACCCAAATACCACGTTCCGTACCCGGGTTCTAAAATTTGATATCAAAACAATTTTGCTTAAATATATTCTTTTTAATAGACAAAATGCCATGTAGATATAGATTTACGACGGTGGTATCTAAAATCATACAGAGTTTTCCTTATTATGCTAAAACAAATGAGCATTGTTCAAAATTTATGGACCACGAAAAATTATGATGTGATTTTCTTGCTTGTGGCGTTTATTGACGGAGACGACAGGCTTTAAACATTATGTACAGTAAAAAGTTACATTCGTGCAACAGTCTTGACTGCATAGAAAGAGAACAGTATAATACATTCCTTTCTGGCAACAGCTGTGTAAAATCAATAAATATATTCTGTAAGTACACTAGGATTAATTTCCATAGCATTTACTGCTACATTTTTGATATTTTTACAGACTCTTCCACCTGGGTCTGACATCACATATTTCACATTTTCCTTTAAACAAACTTCCTTTTGTCTTTGCCTGATATTTTGTTCACTTAAAGATGGTGACTGAAGATTATACTGTTTATAGTTTTGAGTTTTGACAGGCGCTGTTGGCACAAACTTGTCTGATAAAAAATAGCCAACCAACAGCCTCTTATAATACATATAGGAATATAATAAACCAAATCTTTTCAGCTTTTAATTCATTAATGACCATTTGATTAACTTTTGAGTTTGAAAAACATTGTATAGCTTCATGGCATAGAGAGTAAATAGTTATACGTACTGTTTTTCCTAACCTTGCTTTTGAAAATTGTCCCTATTTTTTTGTACTTTACAGCTATATATATATAATGATATTTTCTTCTTGAAAAACTTTTTTTTGTGTATTTCTAATGTTAATTTAAAATAAATTGATTTTAAGGATAGAAATTAAAAAAATCCCGATTTGTATAATTACAGTGACACAATTTTTAAAATTCCAAATACACAGGCCCCATTCCTTAAATACTTAATAGTGTAAAAAAGCCCTTAGGTTTCTTTGCTTTATAGTTTTATAGATCATAACTGTTCCATGAGCAAAGGTGTCCATATACCAAGTGTATTATGGAGAGATAGGGTTAAGCTGTTTTACCTAAAAGTGTATCACATGGGTTTTAAATAACATAAATGAAGTACTGGTAACTATAAAGGTTTGTTTGCTGAGGACATGTCAGGGTAGATTTAAGTAAGTAACGGATATTTACATTGAAAGTAAATATATACATTAAATGACTATCAATCATAGATAACATGATATGTGTGTTGAAAGCCTTGTTAGCATGACGTGTTATAAATTAAAAAAAATGAGATGAAATATCTTTTAAATTGAGTACACAATCTTTTTTATTTTATCTATCAGCATGCAAATAAATAGTTATGTTCCTTTCTTGAAGTTTTAGAAACAAATTTGGGAATTGTCTTTTGAAGATATCTTAAAAAAATTCCAATCCATACATTGAAACAGACCAAACGAAAAAAAATATATATAAAAATAGTACATATATATATATATATATGTAGACATGTACAAAATCATGCAAATATAGATGATCAACTATATATTTGCTGTGTTGATTTCGTAAGTTAACATCAGTAATCTTTATAAGGGTGAATGTTGGGCCTTAGAAAGGTCCCTTCCACAAGAAAATTAATGCAAATAAAATTCCCCAAATTATGCTTTTTGTTTGTGAAATTTCCCAAATGTTACATGGCACAGGCCCCTATTTAAGGAAAAAAAGCCATAAGTTCGTAAGATTGAACTACATGTATTATATACAAATACATGTTGTTTCTAGTATTTAACAGATTGCTGGGTAAAGCATTAAGTATTTACCATATTTTCACTCAGGTTATAATGGAGCCGATCACCTGAAGTTGTGTACAGTTTATGTTAGCTTTTAAAATTGACATTAAAACTAGTAGCTAGGGTAATGTACATATTATCTTACCCGCAGGCACTTTAATTTGTAGTAGTAACGTTAACAGGTTATATTACAAACATACAGTTATCTTTATCAAATTTTTAGTCGTTTTACGTAATGTAGAGAGCTTTAAATGTAAGAGCTGATTTACATATTATACATTAAAAATTCACTGTGATATCATTTGTGGGTGTGTCCAGTCCTGGTACATTTGTATATAAGGAATACACGTGATCATACTTTATGACATTAGTCATGCTTGTGTATACATGTTTCGAAAAATCAATTGAAACAACATTATACTTGAACATACTGGAAGAGATATTTTCTATTGGGAGAGTACTAGTGTTGGCCATTAGGTTACCACATCAAAGGGGTTCGCTCACTTGTTAATCGTATAACGATCAAAGGATTATGGTGTACTGCCGTAAGATGTAAATAACAGAACTTTCAGAAGACCCTTTAGAGTAACTTTTTGACTCCCGAAAATGAGATTTGACTCTTGGGTTTGAAAAGACATGTCTATTTGATAAACGGTATGTTTCGATTCTCCAAATTTCAGAGAAAATATTATTTGACTTCTGAAATTGCTAAATACCAAGGGTCAACCGAAAGCCCTGGATAAATAAAATTTACAAAAAATAAATAAAACATGAGTTTGGGGCTGTTATAAGGCCCCTCCCCCTAGATGATTTATGCAGTGTTTACCCAATATCATTGCAAAAGTCACTTTATTTTCCCAAGATCATGCTTTTGTGTGTGATCTTCTCAATGTACAGGCCACTGTGGAAAAAAGGTAGAAAAAATTACTGCTTTACTCTTAACTCATTTACCCCTGAAGACACATTTGAACTCTTCCAATTCAAAGGTTGGAATAGTCCATTATAAAATTTCAGGGGTGAATGAGTTAATGCATCTTTAAAATGTTGCTTATCTTGATGACGACCATTAGTGCCAATTTTTCCACAGAAGATCAAATGTCTGTTCGCTTGAAATGTTCCTTCTTGATCAGAGCTATTGATGGAATATTTAAAAAAAAACCAGCCACTGCCAGGCTTTAATTTATCCATGTATACATACATTGCATTAAAATGAATGTTGCATATATATGTACATGATGTTATTATAGCCTTAGAAAGTTAGATATTTATACATGTGTTTTCCCCGACATGCCAAAATGGTGAAGCTTGCTTGTTTTTTTTTTTAAATAGCTTTAACTAAGATTATAGTGAGGAAGACTGATTTTAACAGTCATTCCTTAAATTTCAAAGCCTGCAAAAACTGAACAATAAATGGGTGTGGTTGAGTTAGAGGAAACACATGAAGTATTATTATTTTAGGCCAAGCAAATATGCTTCATACATTTTGTAAGCATGTGCACGTGTGATCATGTCTGAGCGAAAATAATTTATTGATGGTCTGTTAAATAAAACATGTTGAATCATATCACCAAAATTCTAAATATTTTTTTGTTATATTTCTTGGTCACGAGGAATGACATTGAAAATATGCATATTTTTAGTGCATCTGGCTCATATTATTGACAAAAAAAAGTGATTTTGATTTAGCCTCAATTATGTTATAGAGCAATATATGTACATACAAATGTATAAATATGTAAATTCTATCCTGGTTCAATTTAATTTATAAATGTCCTGTTTAAATTCTCCTAAGGCCAAACAAATTTGTATTTATGTTTCTGCTATCATCCTCAGAAATACAGGGTAGGTAGGTAGGCATTTTTTTTTTATTTTGGAAAATATTTTTACTGTGCTTATTTAGAGCAGGAGTTCTGACTTTTAACAGTGCATATCACTAAATGTTAATAAAATTTTTAGGGTAGGCACAACAATTTAAGGTAAGAATGCTTAATAGCAGAAACACAAGATTTTTTATTTGGCCTTATATCCCATAGTCTCATACAGTGTTTACTTAACTTCATTGTGAAAAACAATGCCCTGTGTTCTATGGATAAAGTTTACTCGTACCAAGTATTACAAAGATTGCTTTATACCGATTTTTCTAAAACACCTTTTTTAGAATGAGTTCATTCATGTAAATTGTAAGCCCACAATCATATCCCTTTTAAATATTTTTTATGTCCCGGTTGTTCAAACTATGATTAGAATAACTAGTGCATGATTTATACAAATAATCGAAATGCAATTTGTGGTAAATACCTAAAATTTTATAAATACAAACATGTTTATTTTATTTTCTCCAGGTGATTATTTTAAATATTTATGTGGTAATTTCAGTTTCTAATTTCAACATGTATTTAAAAAAAAAAATTGAATTAAAATTTTGGGTCAAATTTTCGTTTAGATAATCTTATCTGTAAATCATCAGCTGTGAACAAGTTGGCCTGAAGCTACATTAATACCTGGTATATTTTCTCATTTCCATTCACCCCTGAAATTTCATAATGAACTATTCCAACCTTCGAATTGGAAGAGTTCAAATGTTTCTTCAGGGGTGAATATGTCTCCATTCCAAAAGAGTTCGATACCAACCAACCTTTGAAATTGTTAGCAAAAATATATTTCTGTTCATTTGCATATTTTCCTTCGTTGTCTACCCTTGCGTGAAATTAACTGTCCATATATTTGATAAAAGATGTATTTCTCTTCCTGTCAAACCTCCATAACCTCCATATGAATATAAACTTTATATATTTTACAACAATTATGAAACAAGTTATTTCAGCTTATAATAATCACTCTTGTTGGCCGGGATGTTAGCGTGCAGGGGTCTTAATGTGGGAGGAAACCGGAGTACCGGGAGAAAACCCACGTGATCGGGCAGGTGGACCCCAAACCTTTTCACGTCCGACAGGGGAATCAAACCCCGATCCCCTTGGTGAAAGGCAAGTGCGCTATCCACTGTGCCACCCAACCACCATTGATCATAGTCTAATTGGTATACATCACAATTGTTTTGTATATATAAAGTAAGAACATTTGCAGATTTCTTTTGTCCAGGATCCTGTAAACACCTACTGTCGACATGAATAGCTAACACTAAAACGAACAGTTACCATTGGTTTCCATCTTGAGCCATTAAAACTGTCAGTCTATATGACCTGTAAAAATAGACATTGTTGGACTACTATTTATGCAAAACTTCTTCATTAATTAAACTGTAAGGTTTACATGAAGGTGTATAGCTGCTTTCAAATTTGTCCAGATCAACGACCTTGACCTATGTTCTTATTCAGGGTTGCAGGGGTCAAATAAGTACAATAAAATTCAAATTACATTCAAGATCACAGGGGTCAGATGTGTTAAAATATTAAAGCAACTTCTCACAAAGTGTAAAACCTTACCATTAATGATATTTGGACTCTTTTAAATGATCTCATACAGCTTGCTTGATGTATGTAAAATCAAATCTGTTTGGTTAAATGACCTTGACCCATGCATGATCAAGGTCACAGTGAGTGGTCAAATGTGTCAAAATGATACTTAAAAAATGTTTTAAAATCTATTGATTTTATTTTAATCAATTCTGTTAGTTAATAAAACTAAGTGTTTGTAAAATGCAAGCATCTGTCGTGGTACATGTACTACATCGTAGATAAGAGATCATGAGTTAATGGAGGAGGAGTTACAGGTGGAGGAGGAGTTACAGGACACCAATCGTCAAACCGCAACAATCAATGATAGTTTAGAATTTTAACCAATGAAAATGGAGGAATAATTTGCCCCCACATTTACTGCTAAAAGATTTCGAAGTCCAATCTGTAATATTTTCTTAAGAATTTCTTTATACATTTCCCTCAATTTATCTCCAAACTCCTTTTAAAACGCCAAATTTTCTCTGGACAAAATGGTGGCACTGGCAGTATAACAAGGTTTTACTGTATATATAGAAGAAGTTGATAACCCTCTTTATAACCAGCACATCTGCCGATAAACAGAGGTGATAATGATATACAGGATTTGATTTAGCGCCCTTTCTAGCTAGCATAGGCCACTCTAAAGCGCTTTACAGTACATAGGTATACATTTAATAGAATTAGCATATACATTAATCAATACGATTTGAAGAATTCACGAGGAGCGGCCTTATATTTATCAGCCACTATAACTACTAGTCCCATGCCCCTTGGCTTATAAATATGTCCCTATGTGTGTATGCCTGCGTGTGGGCTGTAGATGTAGTGTGTTCTGTTTGTAGTGGGACCTTGCTTCAAACGGCATCATTTATACTGCCATCTCACTTGAATGATACAACACAGATACCTCAACATCAACCCCAGGTTAATTTATATTCCACCTGGGTTGTTGCAGTTGTGTGGGCAGGAGAAAAACACTTTCTCTGAATATCCATGCGTACGACCACTTCGGGGATCGAACCGGTACCGGCCCCGGCCACCTGTTTGGAAGGCCAAAGTGTTAACTTGACCAATCTGCCCATAGCATTAAGTAAAATACTCTAATTTATACTATTTTTCTCTTTGCAGCTCATCTCAATGTTCACCGAAAACCATGCCGTTCGTGTGGAAGGCAGTTTGTCCCCGAATCCTTGGTAAATATCTCCAAACTGATCCATTTATTTTGATTTATGATGTATTTTTAGGTTGCAGGATAGTTAAAAATCTTAAATGTGCTTATGATTAAATTAGTCGAGTTTGTAATAAGTCTGAAGCTTAATTTGAATAGCATGGTTAGAAAGTTAAATACTTAGTCTGCTAGCTAGTGCAAGACTTATAAATATAACTTTGGGATCAATCACTGCACTAGCCTGAGTTTCCTCTGGCCTTTACACCAGACTAAGACATTTTGACATATATAGAAGTCTGGTGTGAGGCCAGAGCGCACTCCTATATGAAAACGTGGAATTCTCTGACACCGTTTGGTATATTGGAGAGTTATGAGGTATGGACAACAAAAATCTACTATGGCACAACACATACCTCACATACATCAATAAATGGATTATTTATTGATCCAAATCCGCTCTTATTATATAATTACCATCAACAGCTGATAAATTCTGTCAGTCAGACTCTTCGGTTTTCAATCGTTCAAAATTTCCAACCTGAGCGAACGCCATTTTGTAGTTCATGGGAGTGACTAATCAACAAGCCGTACTGTTCTGGCCCCAAAATGGATTACATCATTCTTGTTTAGAAGATTTCCAGACAGCGTATTTTTTGTTGATTATTCACTCCCTGATGATACGAAACGGTGTCCGAAAACTCCACATTTTTCATATAGCAGTGCACTCTGGCCCCACACCAGACATCTATCTGTCAAAATTTCTAAATCTGGTGGTAGGGCCAGATGAAACTCAGGCTATCACTGCACCATTGTCAAAAAATGTAACCACATGCATTGGGAACCTTTTTTCTTGGCATGACATTGATAAATAATTGCTGAAAAGAAAACTATACCTACCAGAGTTTTCTATAAAAAAATACGAAGATGGATCAGCATGAGAAATGAGAGAGTCAGCATTAGTGTTCTAAGGTTAAAAAATGTGACAGGGCCAGATGAGGATTCGAACCCTGGAACCTTTGATCCAGGGATTGTCACTGTAGCCAACTTAGCATTGTTCCAGTTATAACCGAGCATAAGACAAAAAAAGGGGGAGGGTGTTATATGCAACTCCGCTATTTAAATACTGCCAAAGAGTTCTAATACGAGGGATATGGATACTAATGTTCTAGTTTCTATAATAATTTAGTGATTAAAATTTGGAACTGTCACTAAAAGCCCTACTCTAGTCTAAATATATAACCTAAACTCTGTGGTGTGTCACTCACCTTACACCGGACCCCTATTTAACGTCCCTTCCGAAGGACAACATCTGTAGCTCACAAGCCCAGTCACACTAGGTTATATCTAAAACAAATTAAAAGGGAGTTTATTCTACAGCACAGTGGAACTCTCTAGTGTTTTGCCTGCAGTGGTACAGGGATCCTTAATATAAAGTGGTCTTTTAACGTTAAAAAAAAAATATAAGAAAAAAGCCTGTCTCAAATTCCTGTAGAAAAAAATATTTTCATTTATGCTTCATAGGATAATTTACCTCCCTTAAAATGTCTAGCTAGGAAAAAATGGATTCTCTCTATATATACAATAGAATTAGCTTGATTTATAATGTCTTGAAAAAAGAAAACAAGCTTTTTTAATAAAGTCCAGCAACAGGACCGTATAATTTTTATGTTAAGAATGGTTAAGTATAAGACGAGTTTAAAACATTTTACGTTAGTCCAAGCATCAAGGTACTGGAATCATAGGCCAGTGGGGTAAGCATCTCCAATTAACACAACTGAAAGTTTTTGAAAATAATTTCTTGATTATATTTTGCAGTTTAAACTTTTGCTAAAAAAAATGCTATTTTTATGGACTTCATTAAAATATTGCTTTTGCCTATTGAATTTTCCTTTTACATTTAATGAATTTCAATTTCTTAGTTCACTTAAGGAAACTTTGAAAAAGACAAACAAATCCTATATTTATTCGCCAAAAAAATAAATAGCACAAATTATTTTGAGATGCTGCAATTAATTGCTGAGATAAATTTGTGAAAGTTCATGTGATTTTTTCTTTGCAGGCCAAACACGAACCTTTCTGTATAAAACAAGCAGCAAAAAAGAGGAAGGTGTTTGATTCAACGAAGCAGAGAAGTGAGGGAACGGAAATTAGCTATAGACAGATGAAGCAAGCACAGAAAAAGGTATAACTAACCTCTTGTCATAGCTGCTGTCGGGCCTCCCTAATTAGTAGGGAGAGTCCCTCATTTCGATAAAATTTACCAATCTCCCTCGAAACTCCCTCATTCAAGTCTAAACTCACACAAACTTAAAATCTACATCCGGTGGTTAAATGCCATCCTCGATATCCAGGGGTTATGTTCACGATCACTCTCTACACTCCTGGAATATGCCATAGCAAAATTGAAGGCTCAGTGTGCACCACTTTCTTGATGAGACAAGGAGACTAGTTCGATCCTTTGATATGCATCAAAAGAATCTCGCGGCCACATAACGGTAAAAGTTGACAGGCTTTAGAGTCTGGCGTCTCTCCATTGTAATCTTCAAAGGACAGGTATCAGCCTAGCGATAATCAAACAGCTATCTTCATGCCTTCAATTTTGCTATGACATATTCCAGGGGTGTAGAGAGGGAAAGTGAGCGTAACCCCTGGATATCGAGGATGGTTAAATGCATGATCTCCTTTACTGCAGGATGTGTGTAATACTCATAACAGGTGTGTCTGAATCAAATAAAGGCTTTTTGAAGTTATTTTGATGCATAAAAAGGGAAAGAGAAATTGAGCAAAGCAGTTTCAGTTGCATTTCACACACTTTCTCCCTCAGTGGAAATGTGGTATGAGGGTGATCTCCCGTATTTGAGGTTTCAGGGGTTTGACACCTGTGTCTTGTACTTTGTCCCAAAGTCTTCAAATTAAATCAGCTGTTGATACAATATAACAAAACAGTAGAAAGTGGTCAATTGTTTATATCACTGACTTTAAATAGTTCACGACTGTGGCACTAGGGTTCATGTCCGTGATGAACGGTTTCAAGCTTGTGATTATCGGTTCACGACTGTTACAAGCTGTTCCTGACTTTGTGAAGACTACATAACATTAAAATGATGACTTTTGAAAAATGATCAGAAAACATTATAAATATGCTATGAGGCCCGGCTGCAGGTCCATGTTGGTGTCTCTCAAATGACCCCATCCTCATAGTTCCAGAGGGTACAGTAGAAATGGCCTGATCCTGAAAATAAAGGGCATGTCTCAGATAAACATAGATAATGGATTCATCCTGCACAATCAAACACACCTACATATATATTTTGAAGAAGAATGAATATTTTTTCAAAAATGTTTTCCCCAGATTTGGGACTTGTGAAAACCATGGTTGTTAATTACCACATAAAAAACCCCACCAAAATATGTGTAATCTTCAAAGGCCAGATATCATCAGCGAAACACATCAAATAGCTTAGCACTTGCCTGCATTCAATTTTTTCATGACATACTCCAGAGGTGTAGAACGTAACAAATTTTAACCCATGGAGTACAAGGATGTAATAACTTGTAAGCAGTGGATACAGGGAAAAAAATGAGTATTTACATATTATATTATTATATTAAACTATTTTGAAGCAGCCATCCTTTTTTAAAAACCGAGCAAATTCTGAATACATGTTTTGGTAGTTAAAATGTCTATGACATTGTTAATCAAAGAAAAAAAAGATCAACTTTTTTTTTTCTTGTCCTCTTAGGAGGTAAAACCCCCCAAGAGTCACTGGAGGGCACAGCATCAGGACTTCATCAACACCATCAGATCTGCCAAACAAGTGACAATAGCCATGGAGCGAGGAGAACCCCTTCCTCCTCCACCGCCTCCTTCTATCAATCCAGGTATGTACTTTCTTTACTTTCATCTGTATTTTTGAACATTTTCTTTGTGTAGGTAAGGATAGACCGTATACAGGTTCATATACCACAACCAGTGACATGTTTTAATTATACCCCCCTATACGAAGTTAGTGGGGGGGGGGGGGGGGGGGNGTTTTACCTCAAATGTCTCCCAGAACGCCATTATGTTCCTTCAATATTTACCAGATTTATGGCCCTTGACTTCTGTAGACTGTACATTACATTACTAAAATGGCTAATTATCTCGGAAACTTTAGGTATTTTGTATACACAAATGAAAGTTACTCTTTTGACAAACTTCTGAGGTCATTGGCTCAAAGGTCAAAGGTCACAAATGAATTACGTTACTGAAATGGCTGATTATCTTGGAAACAGTGGGTATTTTGTATGTATACACATATACATTACAGTATCATAGCCAACTATGCAGGCTATATTGTGACAAACTTCTAAGGTCATGAGGATAAAGAAAGGTCACAGAAAGCTAGGTCACAGATGCATTATGTAACTGAAATGACTAACTATCGCTGAAATTGTAGGTATTTTGTATACACATACCTTGGAGTATATGTAGCATTGATACAAGTTACATTGTGACAAAATTCCGTGGTCCAGGTTCATATAGCACAACCAGTGAAATTTGATGTGTGATGTTTCAATGATGAGTATGATTTGTACACTCTGTCACTGTCATCATACAAATGACTGTTAACTGTTCTTGACCATTGCAAACCAGGGAATACCCAAAACCTTGTCCGTTTTATTGAACAACGAGGAAGGAAGTTAGTATCTAAAATGTTGTCCAGTGGTACTCAAGAGAAACTGGACTGGGTCGATCATCAGCGACCAGGGAGCTCAATTGGTAGAGTGTCCGTCTAGAGTTTGGAGGGTCCCGGATTTGAACCCCAATCTGCCAGTTACATTTTCTCTTTCTCCTCTTACACAGTATACAAGAAAACAGTAACTTAAGAATTTCCTCAGATTAGTAAGGATATACTCTATACAGATTCATACAGCACAACAGCGAAATTTTACGTGTGACAGTATCTTGTCCAGTATGCAAGGAAACAGTTACTGAATAGAAAATATATTCCTAAATTCACCAAAATAAGTTTTGATTTCTTTTCAACAGACTATATTCAATGTCCTCATTGTGGGCGTCGATTCAATGCAAAGGCTGCGGAACGCCATATTGGATTCTGTAAAGAACAACAAATGAGGAGCGGAACAAAACCTCAAGCCAGTACCAAGGCTAAAGCTAAGATGGACGCCAGAAATTCGGTAAAAAGAAATAATAAAAAAATGGTACAAGAACCTGACATAATGAAATGCATGGGTAATAGTGATGGGTCGATGGTCAATTATATTCGCAAAATCAATTTGTTTACCCTTTCAAAAATTCAATAATCATTATAATCGGTTCATTACTGGCCTCAAGTATCAAATTTATGCTATGAACAGTAAGCTTTGAGAGTAATTTATTGTGTTTAATTTTATCATATAATGATAATTTTGAAAAAAATACTCTTAAAACTTTGTAAAAATGTAACATTACTTTTGTCACTTTATTTCAGTATTTGGTGACATGAAATAATAAATTGATAATCAATCTTCAATTGGTTTACGACTTCCAATTACAAACCATTTGTCAGAAATTGCCGGTCGCTACTATATCTGAATCAATCTGTTTATTTTAACTCATCCAACCCTGAAATTTCATAATGAACTATTCCAACATTTGAATCGGAAGAGTTCAAATGTGACTTTAGGGGTGTATGAGTTAATAATGTGCCAGATCAAACTGCTTAAACAACATAGAAAGATTTACTGGAAAACTGATTTATTTGTCACTATAATTGTGAAATATTTGTTGTAAGTCCTTTTAAGAAAAAGTATTCTAAAAAAACCCACGTATTGTTTGAAATTCGATGTTTGATATAGAAATGAAAATAGATAAAAACAGAAAAACTTGAGGGGTTGAACTTCTATACTGCCGAGTCTAATCTTTACCAATTTTTCGAACCTGAAATTACAAATGAACAGCACCCAAATGAGAGTCAAATTCATTTGCCACAACGTGAATGACGGAAAGTGACTTTAAATTCATTTTATTCTTTGAACAAGTTAAAAATACTGACCAAATATTATTCTGGTTTCTTTTGCATTTTATTAGTACCAGGTACCCAAACCAAAGGGACGAGGAACTGCACCGCCAGCAGGGTACGGCAGTCCTGGAGTCGGGGGTTCCCCAGGAGGGTACAGCAGTCCTGGAGTCAGGGGTTCCCCAGCAGCCCCTAGAGGGGCACCAGGAGTAAGGACATCACCTGCAACAGGTTAGTGACTTTTATATATCTCAATTTGTATAGCTCACATTTTACAGTTATTCAGATAAAATATATCCGAGTTACATATAAAGTTTAAACCATTTTATGCAAAAAAAGGTTTAGCTTATGTTTACTAATGAAAGTAAACAGATTTCATCATGCAAAGAATAATCAGTCACAAATTGAAACGTATAGGTGAAATTAGGAATCAAATAAGCCTTTCACTTTCTTAGGACAAGACCCTCAGGCTTTATGCAGGTCTAGACCCTCAGACTTATCACAGATCTAGACCCTCAGGATAATCACAGGTCTAGACCCTTAGACTTATCACAGGTCAAGAATCTCAGGCTTAACACAGGTGTGAACCCTCAACATTATCACAGTTCTAGACCCTCAGACTTAACACAGGTATCCACCCTCAGGATTATCACAGGTCTAGACCCTCAGAATTATCACAGGTCTAGACCCTCAGACTTAACATAGGTATCCACCCTCAGGATTATCACAGGTCTAGACCCTCAGAATTATCACAGATCTAAACCCTCAGTCTTATCACAGATCTAGACCCTTAAGGCTTATCAAAGGTGTGAACCCTCAGTATTATGACAGTTCTAGACCCTCAGAATTATAACAGGTCTAGACCCTCAGAATTAACACAGATCTAAACCCTCAGTCTTATCACAGACCTAGACCCTTAAGGCTTATCAAAGGTGTGAACCCTCAGTATTATGACAGTTCTATACCCTCAGAATTATAACAGGTCTAGGCCCTCAGACTTAACATAGGTTAAGACCCTCAGGCTTATTACAGATCTAATCTTTCAGGCTTATCACAGATTTAGACCATCAGGCTAAACACAGGTGTGAATCCTCAGACTTATCACAGGTATAGACCCTCAGACTAATCACAGATCTAGACTCTCCGAATTATCACAGGTCTAGATCCTTAGGCTTAACACAGGTGTGAACCCACAGTATTAACACAGTTATAGACCCTCAGACTTTACACAGGTATCCACCTTCAGGATTATCACAGTTCTATACCCTCACAATTATAACAGATCTAGACTTTCAGTCTTATCACAGATCTAGACCATCAGGCTTAACACAGGTGTGAACCCTCAGGCTTATCACAGATCTAGACACTCAGTCTTATCACAGTTCTAGACCCTCAGAATTATAACAGATCTTGACTTTCCGGCATATCAGAGATCTAGACCATCAGGCTTAACACAGGTGTGAAACCTCAGACTTATCACAGGTCTAGACCCTCAGGCTTATCACAGGTCTAGACCATCAGACTAATCACAGATCTATACTCTCAGGCTTTTCACAGATCTACATGTAGACCCTCAGGCTTATCATAGATCTAGACCCTCAGGCTTATTACAGGTCTAGACTCTCAGGCTGATCACAGGTCCAGACCATCAAGCTTATCACAGATCTAGACTCAGGTAATCACAGGTCTAGACCCACAGGCTTTCACAGATCTACACCCTCAGAATTAAAACAGATCTAGACTCTCAGAATTATCACATGTCTAGACCCTCAGGCTTATCACAGGTTTACACCCTCAGACTTATCACAGGTCTACACCCTCAGACTTATCACAGGTCTAGACCCACAGGCTTATCACAGATCTACAACCTCAGAATTAAAACAGATCTAGACTTTCAGGCTTATCACAGGTCTAGACCCTTAGATTTTACACAGTTATTCCGTCTTTGCGTATTGCAGAGTTATCTTCTCTTGCGAACAGGTATTGATTGTTACGTCATTGGTTTGTGCGAGAAAATTACGCCGTTTTCTCAAAAATTGATGACGTTACTCTCATAAACAAGTGACGTAACAATCAATACCTGCTCCCAAGAGAAGATAACTCTGCAATACGCAAAGACGGAATAGACCCAGACTAATCACAGCTCTAGACCCTAAGGATTATCACAGGTTTAGTCTCTCGGGTGTATCACAGATCTTAACCCTCAGGTGTATTAAAGGACTTTACCATTAGGCTTACGAAATTTCTCAACCTTCAGGCTTTGACCCTCAGGCATATTGAAGGATTGTAGCCTAAGGCTTATCACAGATCTAGACCATCAGGCTTAGCACAGACCTTAACCCTCAGGTGAATTAAAGGACTTTACCCTCAGGGTTATGAAATTTCTCAACCTTCAGGCTTTGACCCTTAGGCATATTAAAGAATTGTAAACTCAGGATTATCAAAGTTGTAGACCCTCAGGATTATCACAGGTCTAGACCCTGAGGCTTATCACAGGTCTAAACCCTCAGGTTTGTCACAGGTCTAGACCCTCAGGGCTTGAGGGCATGTGACTCTCAGGATTATCACAGATCTAGAGCTTAAGGCTTAACATAAATATTTCAATGACACGAACAAATGCTCATTCAATGTGTGACAGATGTTTTGTGCACCTCACAGTAACCTTGGTTTTATTTTTTATTAATTTTCGTGATAAAGAGTAACCTCCCTTCCATTTTGTTTACACTCTGTATCTAGGGAACGAGTCTCGCAGTTGCGCCATCTTATGACAAGGTATCACATGACCAGTTAAAACTTGGTGTGCCGTAACTATTTGTTTTGAATACTTGGTAGGATTAATTAGATTATCAGTCTTTCTGGGGTCATTTTCACAGGATTTCCATTTTTTTTCCTTCAAATTAAATTTCAATTACACACCTGTAATTTACTACAGGGTCTCATTTATCTATATCAAAAAAGGAATTCTTTCCTACAGTTTAGTCAGCTATTGATTTTCATACCCTCTTCGACTTGGAAAACTTAACATGATGGGAAATTTTGTAATTGTTGTTTGGTTTTGTTTTTACGTGAAAGTCAAAATATTTTTTAATATTTAGGATACATTACATATGTGTGTATTACAAACCAGAAAATGGTAACCTAGGATAACCATGGGAGCCAGGCAAACAATAGCATGATCTCTTCATTCCAGAAAGACTGAGGTTAAGGGTATATGCTATATTACTGTGATGTGCATCAAGAGTTTCAAACCCGGAAACTTGTGAAATGTGTTTTCATGAATAATTATTTGACTTTATAAAACACAATTCAAACAAAAAGAATATATTGACAACACTCGTTGTTGAATACCTGGTAATACAGATCAAAACAGGCAAGGGAGATAACTCTAATATAAGTCACAGGTATAATAAGTAAGGTAGCATATAGCCTTAAACCAAAGCTTGCACAGTGAAACCTTGTATCAAGTATGGACTCAAATAGATATGTATTTTGACCAACTCTGAAAATTTGCTCATTGGATGATGTTTTGAAAGCAGCAAAAAAATAATACACTTGTTTCACAAGAAAGTGAAAAAGTTAACCAGTTTCACTGGTTTGTTAAATATTTCGCCAATTTTAACGGCTAGTTAATTAAATCTTTAATACAGAAATGGTTTTACTGTGTAATAATTTGGTTCACTAATAGAAAAAATGTAAACTGATTAATGAACTTGTATGTAGTTCAATAATACAATAACAGTTAACTGGTTTGTGAAATAGTTAATTTGCTCCTGTGGTTTAATCAAACACTGCTAGACTAGCTATGTTAAGAAGCCTAGTAATGTGTTTTTGCCGTATGTAAATAGCTAATTGATTAAAGTGAACATTTTATGCTGTGGATATTTAGCAATTTCAACAGTGATATACCGGGTATATGTGTTTTGATATTTAGGTAAAGTCTATTAATCAGACTTGTATGATAAAACTTGATAAAGTTCTAGGCATCCAGGTAAAATCTATATATTAACTGGTTTTTCCCAGACCCCAGTTTAAATTTAAGAACATCAACTTTTTTTTTATAAGAAATAAACCTTAAGGATCTCTGTAACACTACCAAAAGCTGTAACTAAGCCTAGGTACCTATTTTTTCCGTTATGGCGATAGCTTTGATAAATCATTTCTGAAAAGAAATCCATACCTTAATAACCATAATAACTTAATAAAAAAAAAATTAAGGTGATGTAAACAAAACAGTATCAACAACAGTGAACTGTGTATAACCAAAAATGGGGCTAAATGGTGTTATATCCAAAACGAAATTAAGGGGAGGTTACTCTATACATAAAAAAAAGGGGGGAAGTGGGACAGGGATCTTTAATTGCATGATGTTAGTACACTCATGTGTGGAATCTGTGATGTCCAATCCAACCAGATATTTTTTTTATATCAATGTTATGAGATAAAATGCTATTAAATACTTGACGTAACTTGTGTGGAATTATCTGTTAAAATTGAAAAAAGGTTTGAGTTACACATGCAGTTTTTTCTATATACTACTTAACACTTACTAAAATCTTTGTAAATATATTTTGTATCTTTAGATGATTGATGAGGATTTAAAAAAACATACTGTACCAAAACCATATACCTTGCAGGCTTTCATGAAAACATGATTAAGATGAAGTCAACAAAAAGTAAACAACACAACAATGACGTGAATGTAAAACTTCAAATTGTTAACAAATTGGCCTACCTGCATGGTCAAAGGAAATGCCCTACAATTAAATATTCTGAAATGAAATGAAGGGAAGGTACCTGTATATATAAGAAAAACACAGTGGAATTTCCCGATAATCTGTCTGTAGTGGGACATGGATCCTTAATTAGGGGAAAAGTAAGCTGTACTAATCTCAACAGCTGGGTTCTTTATCTTGTCTTTTCTAAGTCTTTACTACCACTTTTACTCTCGCGGTACCTACCGTTATCGCCAGTAACCCTTCTTACACGTTTTTGACGGTTCAAACCATGTGTTTCTATTGACATTTTAATCTATTTTCCTATTTCTTGGACTTATATGAACTTATTGTGTTGATTGATTGTTAAGACGTATAACAATTGTAAAATATTTTACTACCTGTTTGTTACTTTATTTTAGGAGAGATCAATTTTTCTGTTACTTCACAAAGAAAATTAGATTCTCAAAAACAAACCTTTTGTCGCAAACAGAAATTCAATTGATATCTGTTATCAGTAGGGAAATAGCATCATTCTCCTCAGTCATACATTTAAGTACTCATGAAGAATAAAACCTACTAGTACATGAAAAAGTTCACATAATAAAGTACACACAAAATTACAGTGATTTACAATATTGTTCACAAATGAAGTGTGATATGTTATAATCCCTACAGGTTTATTATATTTAATTGGCAAGAAAAAACATTAAAAATATATTTTAATTTTTCTAATGATGTTTTAACCTACCATGAATTTTAGTTTGAAATTAGTTAAGTCTTGTTTTTAAAGCAATGCCCTGTCAAAACATTTAAAAAAGCACTTGGCATCCAAAATACCTACAATTCAGAAATTAAAGTTAATTTTAATACGTTGTATGTTTTTCACATCATACAGTGTGCTTATAAAATCAAATGAGATACATGTAATGGTTTTTGCTTTAAAAAGCTTTGTTGCCAACGTTTAGCCAATTTTAAAATAGGCAATGTAGAAATCAATGTGTTTTCATAAAGTTTTGATGTTGTTTGGCTGCAGGTTTTCTGCTTATCTAATTGGGAAATTTTGCACCAATAGAAATTAATAATAATGTATAAGATTATTTCTCTTTGTATTTTATTGTTTAAATTGTTGGCTGCATGATCTCAAATTAGTTAGACTTGCATTTATCTAAAAGACCATATGTTTTTTGAAATGGTGTATTTTAGGAATTTAAGCTTGAAATTATTGGCAGGGAAGAAAAGAGCAACCAAAAGGGCCTTGGAAAATGCCTGTAATTCTGAAATATATTACTGTCAGCTAGACTGTGCTAGTGTTTATAGTGTACCAGCTAAAAAACAGTTATGTTTCGAAAGATTAAGATTTTTATTAAATAATTAGTCATTTAAGGTGTCTGATTAGGTACATTGATTATGTAAGATAGATTTTTTTCAAGACCAAAAATTAATCTCCGGTGATTGTCTCTATCTCACAACCTTGATTATTTTGTTCCTTTCATGATTAAGTGTATCCACAATTTTCCCGGTCTGAGATTAATAGAATCTTTCACCCCCAAGGGGAATCTCAACCTGAGTGGGGAGATTCTTAAGTTTCCAAACATGAGGCTTTGCAGAGTGTTTGGCAACTTAAGAATCTTTCCCCGGGGGATGAGATTCCCCTTTCTCACCCCCAAGGGGTGAATTATTCTTTTTCTCTGACCCTGTTCATCCATTATGTAATGTGGTAAAAGTGCGGATACACCTGTTCAGGGTAAGAGAAATCCTTGTCTCACCCTAGGGTTGAGATGGGGGGGTCCAAGTCATAACAATTGAATGACTTCATGACAGTTCATGCTAATGATGCTTTATCATTGCAAGTCACAGGTTTAAGCCAAAGCTGATTAAAATTAACTCCTCACCCCTACATATTAAGCTGGACCTGCCCAGTCTACGATTTAGTAAGATTCAAATGTGACTTTAGGGGTGAGCGTTTTAAAACCTGTGACTTGCAGCAATGACAGTGCATTGACCCTGTAACATCTAAATTGCATTATATCTAAAACAGGGTCAACAGAGTAAGACTGAGGTATATTTTGTTTATCCTACCCAAGAGTATACAGATCTGGAGAATTTTACTCAGGATAAATGTGTTCATTAGTCTATCACAAGTGTGAGCAAGACAGTGATGAGGGAAACTTTCAAATCTTGCAGCAAGTTGTTTGATATGATATTTTACCATCATAAAATTAATTTGGAAGCCAATTCATGTTTTTCACACTGTATGTGTATGTGTTTAAAAATTGAAGCCACTATGGGAGAAAACACGGTGTGTGTGTGTGTTAAAAAATTGAGGCGATAACTTAGGAAAATGTTTGAGGATTATCACAATAAAGAAGAAATAATGCGAACATGTTTTCTTTCTAACTAAATATTATGTTCTAATGATAAATATTTGAATTTCTACTTGATCAAGTGTAAACCCAGATTTCACCCCTATATAACTTTGATAAACTCTACCATGCATTGATCTGGATAAGTCCATTCTGGTCTATGGTGGTGAAAGGGTTTATTTAGAAAAACATTAAAAATCCAAACCAAATTACATGTTGTCCTGACTTTTCTCAACAGGAACTGGAAGGACACCAACAAATACTACTGGGAGTGGTTACGGCCGACAACCAGCGCCTGCCTCCAGGGGGCGTCCTTCACCATCAACAAATCAGTATCAGGTAAGTGTTTGAATCAGATTTGTTTTTCTGTGTGGCTTTTTTTTTTAATCTTTAATCTTTTCCTTGATACAGAGGGATGGTTGCTTTTATTAATATCAATATAGAATAGTTTTGATATATCCATATTACTTCTGTTAACATTCCTAACTAAAAGAGTGTATTGGTAGAGTGTGGGTTAGGTATGCCTGGGGATATCAAATGAAAATTCTACATTATGAGTTTGGTTTTGTTTGTGTTTTACGTCTTATTAAAATATAGGGTTATTTGTGAAAATTTGCCAGATTTTGATAGTTGAGACTTGGATGAGGCAGTCCCCAGGTGCTCGCGGTAGTTCGTCCGAGTACTCTGGTTTTCGTGACCACCTCCAAAGCCTGGCATTTTCTAAAATTATCCTAGCTGTTGATAGGACGAAAAACAGAAACAAACCAATCCATTAACACTTTCACTCCTGAAATTTCATAATGAACTATTCCAACATTAGAATTGGAAGAGTTCAAATGTGTCCTTAGGGGTGAATAAATTAAACAAAATGCAGCGACTGCTTAAAGCAATCATCAAGAGAAAAGTATATAACATTTGGCAGAGAGCATTGTGACTTACCATTGAAATGACGTCATAAAAAGTGAATATAAATCTGCTGTTTCTAAAAATAGCCACTACGAGTCAATATCATAAATTACTAACCTCCATCTGGTTATGATTCAACCATGATGACATGAAGGGGAAAATGATATATCATTTAATATTTACCAGTGGTATCTCTTGATGTCAACTGTCATTTTATGTTAGAACTTATTATCGTAACACTAACATAGTGATATTCTGATCTATAATCAACTAATAATTTGTAAAATATTTTCTGTCTAATGTTCACTAACATTTAAAAAAAAAAAAATTGGTAGTGTTATGAGGTATAAAAATTAATTTTGATAGCATTGTATGTACATCATATGCTTTTCTATCGCAGTTAAATCAGGTTTTTGGGACTAAAAGCAATATGCACATAACAAAAATTCACCAAGGGACTAAAAATGATATGTACATGTAGTAAAAAAAAATGCCTAGTGTGACGAACATTTCTATATAGCAGGAACTGTACGTTGGGCTAAAATATTATACATTAGCAAAAACCAGCTTGTCTATAACTGTTTCTTGTCTAGAATCTTGGTAATGTTAGTTTGAAACTTCAATGTGGTTTAACACTTTCACCACTGTAGACCACAATGGACTCATCCATATCAATGCATGGTAGAGTCTACTGAAGTTACATAGGGGTGAAAGGGTTAACCCTTAAATGATGACACTCAAAATACTTTGCACAACACATGGGATTCGGGTGCACAGCGAAATTTAACCCCCCGTGAATATGTACTGAATACGAAACTGCGAAATATCGACCCCGCAAATTTAAGTCTGGTTTAAAAGAATGGTTTGTTCAACTTAAAAAATTGGGGTTTTTTTTGTTTTTTTTGAGAAATGTCTCAAATTAATATAAATGTGCCTCGTGTTTTAGCTTTGATAATGCTTAAAAATCTTAACATGCAATTTGGGTATTTTGACAATAAACAACTATTTTTCACATTATTAATAGGCAGATAATGATTTTCATGTTTCAAAGAGATATTTCCTAAAACATTGGTTCAATCATCATTATCTTTAAAAGAATATGTATCATTCGGTTTAGATTTTTTTTTTTTTATAGTCATGGAATGCAGAATGACAATGCAATCCTTCAGATCAATAATTTTCGCCCACAAAAGTTAAAACTCTTCAAAGCAAGGAATTTAAAAATTGGAGGGCATGTTTATTCATTAAGATAGAGAGTCCCAGTTATTTTCCTGTCAAGTTCAAGGCATGGTACTTCGGCTATATTCGTACAAAGTCAGATGTAGATTGACATGCTTTTCAGAACATTTTGAAATCATTCCCAATGTAGCAGAATTGCATTTCTATAATATTTCTACATAATAATAGAATTCACGACCATTGAGGCAAAGTACAAATGCAACTTTTTAATACATTTTTCATATTTATTTCCTTGGTATACTTTAAGGCAGGAAATGTTTGCCACATTATGTCCTTCAACTTTTTTCCTCTCAATAATGAGGACTTATTGATCAGCGAATATTATTGAGCAGCATACCATATATGGAAATCACATGTGTAGAGCGAAATTAACTATGGGCGAATAATGTAGATTTTACCGGGGAAGGATCAAATTTTGACTGGGCGAAAGTTTTCAGGTATACAGTTGTAAATGGGCAAGGAATAGCAAGTCAAATGCCAAAAAATCGGAACTCTTCTTCATTGGAGATACAAAAGGGAGCTGGGACTCTCTCCTTTAAGCTTACCTGCAGATAACGCATCCTGATACAGCATATATATGATGCAACCTAAAATTGATGAATGGATAGGTTTGCTTGCTTATAGAATAGTCGCCTAAACTACTGCTTTATTAGCCTGATCTATTCACCTCTTTAGGCTAGCGACTACTGCGACTCTCCTCCGTCTGGGTTAGAGGGTAGTGCCATGGGTGTGCCCACTGGCCGGGCGTTACGGACCGGGCGTAATTCTTCCATCTACAACGATGCCAAGCGAGGGACTAGACCTGGCAGCACAGGAATGCCAAAGTCTAAGTCTTCCTCAAGTATCAGGTATAAGTTATATTTGTGTTCAATTGTCAGTTGTAAGTCAAAAAAAAGTTATCAAAAACTGCTAGGTATCGTGGCTAAAGTATTTGCATAATTATGAACAAAAATAATGAATGAAATTCCATATAAGGAGAAATCAGATTCCATATAAGGAAATGGTGGCGCTAGTATCCAACATTTCTATTTTACGTTTGGCAAACTTGTAGTAATACTCTTTCTCCTAGACACCTGTGTTACAAAAATGGTAATCACTCAAGGCAGGCTTTACCTTATTGATAGAAGGCAAGGATCACGGTCCTATGAGACAGGTCCTGCTGTACTGACAGAAGGGGTGGTCTGATATTTTTAAAAACAGTTTATGCTAGTGGTATAATGTATAGTCTCTCAAGACATTTCTGCTTATGTGACAAAAGGAATCGACATTACAAGACAGGTTCGACTGGGATGACATACAAATGGTCTTACAAGACTGGTTCTTTTGTAGTGACAGAAAAGCTGGTCTAACAAGACATATTCTTCGAACTTGTGACAGAAGGGATGGTCTCACAAGACAGGTTTACTGTTGTGACAGAAGGGATGGTCTCACAAGACAGGTTCTACTGTATTGACAGGAAAGTTGGTCTTACAAGACAGGTTCTACAGTTGTGACAGAAGGGATGGTCTTAGAAAACAGGCTCTTATTTGGTTACATAAGGGATGGTCTTATAAGACAGGTTCTGCTCTAGTGACAGAAGGGATGTCTCACAAGACAGGTTTACTGTTGTGACAGAAGGGGTGGTCTCACAAGACAGGTTCTGCTCTAGTGACAGAAGGGATGTCTCACAAGACAGGTTTACTGTTGTGACAGAAGGGATGGTCTCACAAGACAGGTTCTACTGTATTGACAGGAAAGTTGGTCTTACAAGACATGTTCTGTTCTAGTGACAGGAGTGGTGGTCTCACAAGACATGTTCTGTTCTAATGACAGGAGGGATGGTCTCACAAGACATGTTCTGTTCCAATGACAGGAGGGATGGTCTCACAAGACATGTTCTGTTCTAATGACAGGAGGGGTGGTCTCACAAGCCATGTTCTGTTCTAATGACAGGAGGGGGGGTCTCACAAGACAGGTTCTGTTCTAATGACAGGAGGGATGGTTTCACAAGTCATGTTCTGTTCTAGTGACAGGAGGGGTGGGCTCACAAGACATGTTCTGTTCTAATGACAGGAGGGATGGTATCACAAGACATGTTCTGTTCTAGTGACAGGAGGGGTGGTCTCACAAGACAATTTCTGCTTGAGTGACAGAAGGGGTAGTCTCACAAGACAGGTTCTGTTCTAGTGACAGGAGGGGTGGTCTCACAAGACAGGTTCTGCTTGAGTTACAGAAGGGGTAGTCCCACAAGACAGGTTCTGTTCTAGTGACAGGAGGGGTGGTCTCACAAGACAGGTTCTGTTCTAGTGACAGGAGGAGTGGTCTCACAAGACAGGTTCAGTTCTAGTGACATTAGGGGTGGTCTCACAAGAAAGGTTCTGTTCTAGTGACAGGAGGGGTGGTCTCACAAGACAGGTTCTGTTCTAGTGACAGGAGGGGTGGTCTCACAAGACTGGTTCTGCCTGCTCTAGTGACATCAAGACAGGTTCTGCCTGCTCTAGTGACATTAGGGGTGGTCTCACAAGGCAAGTTCTGTTCTAGTGACAGGAGGGATGGTCTCACAAGACAGGTTCTGCTTGAATGACAGAAGGGGTGGTCTCACAAGACATGTTCTGTTCTAGTGACATTTGGGGTGATCTCACAAGGCAGGTTCTGTTCTAGTGACAGGAGTGGTGGTCTCACAAGACAGGTTCTGCTTGAGTGACAGAAAGGGTGGTCTCACAAGACAGGTTCTGCTTTAGTGACATTAGGGGTGGTTCCACAACACAGGTTCTATTCTAGTGACAGGAGGAGTGGTCTCACAAGACAGGTTATGCTTTAGTGACATTAGGGATGGTCTCACATGACAGGTTCTGCTCTAGTAAGAGAAAGGGTGGTCTCACAAAACAGGTTCTGCTTTAGTGAGAGAAAGGGGGGTCTCACAAGACAGGTTCTGGTCTAGTGACGGAAGGGGTGGTCTCACAAGACAGGTACTACTGTAGTCACAGAGAGGGTAGTAATAGAAGACAGGTTCTTATGTATTGTCAGAAAGGCTGGTCTCTCAAGAGACGTTTTGTGGCAAAAAGTGTGATACACAATGTATCTCTCACAACCGGATCTGTTGTAGTGTGATAGATGGGGGATACAATCAAAACTAATAATTGTTATATATTGTATGAAATAGTGTATTGTGATCTATATGTATTATTGTGATCTTGACCTGTGTGACTTCCATATTTCTTTGAGTGATTTCACTTTATTCTCACCTACATATACTTCACTGCTGTTTTTTTTCTCCTGCTGTGTCCCTGTTTTATTTATTAATGCTATAATTATTTTGACCATGTCATTATGTCTTATAACTAACATTATTAGTATTCAACTGATTGAGTTGCATATGAAGCAAAGTTTAGTCTTTTAACATTATACAACCAGCCCAGCTGGAAACTTATAGATATTTCATTGCAGTTTGGACTATTACAAATTGTTTTGATTTCAAATACTTTGACAAATTTTTAGCCCACCATCTGCAGCTGATAATTGTTGGCTGTTTAAATCGCCCTTCGATTATGGTCTGTCCATCTTTAACTCATTCACCCCTGAAGACACATTTGAATTCTTCCAATTCAGTCATTGGAATAGTTCATTATGAACTTTCAGGGGTGAATGAGTTACACCATTCTTGTTAGAGCAATTTTGCATTTTGAGAGAGTCTGTCTGCACTAAATTCAGGAGGGATCTTTCTCAAATTTCAGCTGTACATTGTAGGTTCCCCATGATCAGTAATTATTCATGTTTAATCTTAAGACTGATCCTAATAAAAGCAAGATGGCCATCACTTTGGCCATCTTGAGATTTAAGAGCTGAAGTATGTGAGTGCTATGTCTGAGAAAGAACTCCGGGAACTTTCTGATATTTAACATGGAGGTTCCTTATGGTCCATCATTTTGCATAGTATTTTGCGACTAATTAAAAAAACAGGATGGCAACCTCAGACAGCTATCTTGAAATTTGACAGTTTAAGTTTGTTATCACTTCATGTCAAGAAATATTCGAAGTTTTTTTTACAAATCCATATTCTGATTTACATTGGTTCCATGTTGTTCATGTTTTATGTCAAGCTAGCTTATTAGAAAAACCTATTTGCCAAATAGCCATTTCAGATTTCAACTGAACAAGTAAACAGATCTTTCTCAAATTTCAAATTGAAGTACCCCTTGTTACATATTAAGTACTGTACTAGTAAATAGGGCAAACAACAATGTCACTTTGAAAGAATATTGTCATACCAAGCAGTAATGAAGCTTTGATCAAAAGTTACCACAAATTACATTTACTGTTTTCATGAATATAAGATCAATCTCACATAGAACCTATAAAGATGGTATGATGGTGGGCACCAGGATACCCCTGGGATCTTGTGGTAATCTTCTAATGCTTAACTCATTCACCCCTGAAACTTCATAATGAACTATTCCAACCTTTGAATTGGAAGATTGAAAATGTGTCTTCAGGGGTAAATGAGTTAATAGGCAATTTAACAAAATCAAAAATGTATTAAAAAATGGAAAAAAAATGTATTCTTAGAAAACCCCCTCATCTTCTTTCTTGATATTTATTTTCAGAGCCGCGGGGGCAGGTTCTAGATCCCCAGGCAGCTTCGGAGCACAGAGTCCATCCATGCCTTCAGGGTTCACAGGTGGAATTTCACGGGAGAATGAGTCGGGTTACTATAGCAGCAGTTCAGAAAACGAGGTTCATAATAACCAATATCATGGAAGTAAACAAAATGTGTCACGCTTTTGCCACGATTGTGGAAATAAATATCCTGTCAGTACTGCTAAATTCTGTTGTGAGTGTGGTATCAAGCGAATAGTTATATCTTAATTAATAATCGTACGATTTTACAGTTATTACACATTCAAATATGGCGTTTGTACATCAGATATTGACGTTTCTTTTCATGTTGAAATTTATTTCAATAGGTATCTAAAAAATTGTACTTTAAGTACTAAAATTGTTAAAAGTGAATCAATAATTTTACTTAACTTTGAGATCTTAGTTTGTTTAGTTTGTACATATTTGAATTAAATTTTTCAGTATTAAATTATAAGTTAAGAACTGAATCAATTTCACCTATAGATTTTAATCTGTGGAGATTCTTTCATTTTTCTTTTGGCTACAATGATGAGCCTTATAAAAAAAATAGTGTATAACTAAGAATTTAAGCTAGTTATGTAAATACCCGGTACAGCAATTTAAAATCCTAGACATTACTTCATTTTGCAATTTTCTGTTTACTAAATTACCACCTTTTCTTTGTGTTCATTGCAACTGAAAGCTCACTGTCAAAGTATCGTATGAATTTTGTTTTTATGTTCTTGAAGTTTAATTGCCTTATTTATCCAGCAATAAGCCAAGCCCATGCCTGGTAATAAGCCTTTCCAAATCCATTGCAGTTTAGCTGAAATGCAAACAAATGCTATTTCATTCTCCTGCTATAAGTTTGAGTGAGACATAATATGTGCTTTATGTAGGATACATTCGGTAAGCTGATGATATACTTGCCAGTAGATATAAGTACTAGAAATACGATGTCATCAGTCTCTACGAACTAGAGTTTACGCCACTTGTCCTGTGAAGATACTGTTTGACAGCTACTACATGAACTTGCGACAGAATTTTTCAAGTCATACCTTGTTCTAAATATAAACTTTACTTATTTCACAACAATTTTGAAACAAGCTCTTCCAACTTATATAAGTCACTCTTGTTGGCCCGGATGGAAGTGTTTAGTACTGGTTCTTAATGTGGGAGGAAACTGGAATACCTGGGGAAAAAAACAATACATTTTCATGTCCAATTGAAGGGTCCAGCCCTAGCTGTCTTGGCGAAAGGTGAATGTGCTATACTCTAACACTACCGCTAATAACAAAATAAGGTTAATGGCTTAAAAGAAATTCTGTTGTATTCATTAGATACTGCCATGAAACAAGACAAGTGGAATAATATTAGACAGTAGGTGTTTTTTTCTTCAAAGTAGGTACTTAAGTTAATTAATCGCAACATACAATGTATCACCCTTTGTTAGAGTTTTGATCTTAGAAAATAAGACTGTATGCTTCCTTCCTTCGTCAAAATGTCCCTCCATTCCAAAAATGTTCCATGATCAAGAAAATTACAACTATCATTTACTGTGGTCATGTAAGCTTTGTAAAGTAAATAATGGCGTGTGCTTTGCTTTGACACTTGTCATTCTGAATTCCATCTTTGCGTATTGCAGAATTATCTCCTCTTGTGAGCAGGTATTGATTGTTACGTCATTGGTTTTTGTGAGAAAATTACGTCGTTTTCTCAAAAATTGATTACGTTGCTCTCACAAACAAATGACGTAACAATCAATACCTGCTCACAAGAGCGGATAACTCTGCAATACACAAAGACGGAATAAAGACTGCAAACAAAACCAATATGCCTTAAGGGCTATTTGCTGAAGGACTTCTTGTGTTATGCAAGACAATGATATTAGATTTTAAAAATAGAAATAATTCTTACTTTCACGACCACAGAGGTGGTAATGTGCTAAAACTGGCAAATTACTTCTACGTATTTAGGCCATAATATCTATCTCAGCTTTTGCTTTGTCTAAGTGAATTGTTCAATTAATCCGTCCAATCGGCTATCAAGCTCCCAAAATTTACATATCACCAGAGAGTTACATTTCTATAACTTGTAGTGTTCATACTAGAAACGTTGGTGAAAATATCTGTCAACTTAATAAATTACATTGTAATTTGTAATAAGGATGTAAGGATTATCTCCCCTGTCCTTTATTTGTGTATATTAATTGCTTTTCATGTTAATGGTGGTTTTGGGGTATTTGTTGTTGTAGATTATAATGAACTACGGTCATACTGTATTTCATGTAATGTTTGTAGGTGAAATTACAACTGTGACATTTTTGTCGGGACCCTTGTTTTCATTTTTGTCAAGACCCTCATTTCCATTTTTGTCGAGACCCTTGTTTCCATTTTTGTCGAGACCGACCTCGTTTCCTTAACTGCTGTTGTAACAACTGTGTGTCATTAATTTTAACATAAGAATTGGAAGTGATAAGTATATTTCCATTTGGTGATTTTAGCTGAATGAGTCTTCAAAGTGATTTAAAAATATATTTTTTTTAGAATAACCAGGATTATTCGGGGGTTATACCATATAAACCCCAAAAACTGTGCACTTTGCATAAATCAGCAAAGTGATCCCTGCACAAAAGTTAACTGGTTTTTGGTATTACAACGTAAAGGTATAACCCCAGAACTTAAACTTGGCTATTCCTTTTATTCAAATTTAACCCTTTCACCCCTTTGTAACTTTAATAAACTCTACCATACATTGATCTGGATGATTCCATTATGGTCTACAGTGGTGAAAGGGTTAAAGAGAAATATAACATTTGAGAGTGCATAATTTATGAATATTTATTCATTTCTGATAAAAAATGAAAATAATTTTCCGCAACACAACATTGCGCTGTAATTTCATTGCTCAGCAACTCAACCAATCAGAAGTTAAAATCAAATGTAATGAAAATTACGCCAAATTATTGGTTATGTTTATTTAGGTTAATTTCAATATCGCCTGGAAAATTCTTATCATTAAATGGTAGCCAAAATTTAATTAATTTTCCATGCCAGATGATCATTTGCGAACCAAAAATAAAGAAATAAGCAGAATCCTTACATCACTGTAGACCATAATGGACTCATCCAGATCAATGCACGGGGGAGTCTACTAAAGTTGCAGAAGGATTAAATTCAAATTTAGACTACAGTGATACAAATAATTTGTTTATTTTATCATTGATTGATATTTCCATATTGTAAAATACAGAACTGTGCCAAGAAAATATTGGTGGAACTGTGAAAGCTAGTATACATGATATATATACATGTAATAACCTTGTGATGTTGCTTATTTAAGTGGACTGTGTTGTTAGATCATCCTCAATATATACCGGGGTTACGCTCACTTTCGCTCTGTGGAATTATATGTCATAGCAAAGTCGAAGGCTCAGTGTGCACACCTTGTTGATGAGACGAGGAGGCTAATTTGACCCTTTGGTGTACATCCAGAGAAACTCGTGGTTGTATAACTGTAAAATGACAGGCTTTGAAGTCGGGCGGCGTTCCGCTGTAATCTTCAAAGGGCAAGTATCAGCCTAGTGATTGGTTAGGCTTTTCACCGGACACCAATCAAATAGCTAGTTGCGTGCCTTCAATTTTGCTTTGACATATATAGTCCAGGGGTGCAGAGAGCGAAAGTGAGCGTAACCCCTGGATATTGAGGATGTTGTTAGATATAATGTATTCCGTAGTTAGTGAAAGATATTTATGTTATATAGCATACACTCATGATTATATATTGTATGTAGCTTTAAGTTATTAATTCTCCTGGAAATATGTTGTTTTTTTACGATATCGGGATTGTTATACTTCTTTTCAGTGATTTAAACGTATGTTATTTGAAAAATACAAATGGGATTAGACACATGTTAAAAAAAATATTTTCCCTTTTTTTATATCATCAGCTGATATGAAAATTTGCTTCTTTAGAAATATATCCTTGAGATCTGATTTTTCTTCTTCTTTTCTACCTGATCTGTTTTAAAAGCAAATTATTTTTTATGATAACACACAAACCGTCCACCCATATTTAAAACTTATCATTGGAATAGTTTCATTTGGAACTTTGATGATTGAAGAATATTATTATAAAAGTAACGATAGTCATTTAATCCATTAAAAAATATTTTTGTCAAATGCCTTGATGTTTAACTCATTCACCGCTGAAATTTCTTAATGGACTATTCCATCCTTTGAAGTGGAAGAGTTCAAATGTGTTTTCAGGGGTGAATGAATTAAAGAGCATAAAAAACATGACACTGGTTAAATTTTGTCGTAGCTAGGTTGATATAATAGTATTTCAGATATTGGGAGATCAATTTCTGATGCACCAAATGTTTAATGCATTCAAACAATTTATTTCATTAGAATTGTTTTCAATCTAAATCTTTTTAAAGAATGTAAATACAAATGTAATTTAATTAAGGAATTTGTAAATTTACAAAATTTTACTTGTAAAGAGTTAAAACTTTAAGAAATGTGAAGCATTGTTGTTGTCTTAGAATTTAAAATTAGTAGCATGTATTAACAAATTTTATTTATTGGTGAACTAATATACCAGTACATGCAATGTGTAATTTACCGTCCAAATGAAATTTTATATTATGTAAACTAGTCATGTTTTTACTTTCCAATTTATCTGATAGCTGTGATATATTAAAGTGGAAGACAAAACAAAAAACCTCAACATTTTTAGACCAAATGATGATAACTCTACTACTTATCAGAAGTCATATCATAAAAATTGCTTTATCGTATATTTATCTTATCGCTAAAATTCCCTAACAGGGATGATATAGCTTGCAAAAATGGGTGCATTAGTCTTTTGAACTTTTTTACAAGAAAACAGGAAATGTGTGTGACAGCAACCCACACCTTTTGTATGCTGTTGTTTTTGCTCAGTTCCACGTTTTTTCGTCTGTATTGTATTTCTTATAAATTGTGGTTAGGGAAAAAAAATATATATAAAAATGTTGGTTTCAGGTCCCCGACCTAGTTTTTATCTCCGACCCTAACAATTTTATCACTCAAATGCACCCCATCCAATGTTGGGATAACTTGTCCACCGGATGCAGACTCATATTCACCCCTACATATTCAAACTCCAGAACTTGCCAATAAGGGTGTCTGTAGTTCGTGTTTTGCTGTACATCCAATGATCTGATCGCTAATGCTGCCTTAAACTGTATAGCGCGTTAAATTTGTGGGGTTGATATTTTTGCGGTTTCGTATTTAGTACATATTCACGGGGGTTCAATTTCGCTGTGCACCCGAATCCCATGTGTTGTGCAAAGTATTTTGAGTGTCATCATTTAAGGATTAACCCTTTCACCCCTATGTAACTTTAGTAGACTCTACCATGCATTGATATGGATGAATTCATTATGGTCTACAGTGGTGAAAGGGTTAAACCTCGAAATACAGGTAAACATTTTTAAAACACTGATCCCGATCTTAAAATCTGCCAGTGACTTCTCTTGAAAGAAAATCAAATGTGTATGTACCTGTATGTTTAGAATTCGCGGATATAAGTCGAAACGCATATATAGCGAAACTACAACCCCTGCAAAATATAACCGCTATACATTATTCGTACTACCTGCAAGAAGTGCATTTATTTTTTGAAATTGACAATGGGTGCTATTTTCTTTACTTTCTGGATTAATGTTTGTTAATATTTCCCTAAAGAAATTGATATTTCTAGGTTTGTTGTAGATTGCTTTATCTATAATCTTTCACTTTCGTTTTACATGTATTTTGTGTTTACTTTCACATTAGATATAGTTTATGCACGACACCAGTTCACATTGAACTTTATCTGTTATATTATTACTGCGACCATTCCATTTATATTCAGAATTGTGTGATAACAATTATAGTGTGATATGTATTGTTACTTTTATTCAAATTGGACCAAGAAATTTGGTAAAAAAAATTGAAGATGCATTTGAATACGTTAATAGCATTATAAAAGACTACAAGCTTTTGTAACTATTTACCCAAGATTCTGATATTGTTAGCTTTTAAGCTTGTAGATAGTACAGTTGTTATATTAAGAAAGAATATATGTTGTTTGTTGAGGAGTTGAATTTAACCTGTAACATTTTATTGCAAGTAAGCTACCATCGTAAAAGACACACATACATAATGTTGGGGAAAATAATAGTCCAGGGATTAATCTAGGTTTTAGGTGAAACAACACGTACGTTTCCCTGAAATGGGAATAATACATTTTACCAATAATAAAGACATAAATGATAAAATCAGTGGTATAGATATTCAAAAATGTGCCGTATTCAAGGAAAAATATGTATGTGTCAAAATTTCTTTGTATACATTGTATACTATTTACAACAATTTTTTTTTAATTTTTTTTATTGATTGGCAATGGACAAACCAAGCACCTGTAAAGTGTTGACTGTTAAAATGGTTGAGATTAATCCCGGCACGCACTGTTCTCTATATTCTCAGAAATCTAACAATGGTTGTACTTGTAATAGTAATCTGTCTCTCTGACCATAAAAGAGTGCTCAATGAAGAATAAAGATGGACAACTGTCCAATACAAAATGCCAGGAAAGTAACTTTACCACAGGTAACAATCTGATGTAAGTTACCGAGGTACGTAAATTATATATTTTATTTGTTTATAGATATTCTTACATTTCTGAATAATAAAATTGTTTAAAAACTTCCTGCATACAATGTCATATATATACCAGCATATCTATATTTTGGGACTTTTTCATATTTTTTGAGAAGTGAGGTTTTGAAAACTTTAAATTTAACAATATTGTAACCTGTCGTAACATGTAATTCATCTTACTCATTATTGAGAAACTTGTCTAAACTTAAAACCATTTCAACACTGTTGACCATAATGGACTTATCCGTATCAATTTATGGTAGAGTTTATTAAAGTTACATAGGGAGGAAAGGGTTAACCGAGAGACTTTCAGATTACGTTCAGTTTTGTAGACTAGGATCCAGTAATTCATGGAAGTTCTTAGCTATTTCACCTCTATGTAACTTTTGTAAAACGGGGGCTGAGGCCGCTTTCACTTATTGTTATCCAAACAGTTTGACCGTTTGAGCTTTAGTTAGTTGTGTTTTTATGAAATGGGAACAGACCTAGTGGTCAGCATTATAGTGAGCCTGGACAAAGCCTTTCAAGACATACATAAAAACATGCGTGTCAAGTCAAGATTTACCCCAGGGATCACTACATTTTTAAGTGTCCTGTTTATACAGGTGTTTGGATTGTAAATAGTTCCAAGTTAGATAGGAGATCTACTTTATCGTCACATAAACAATATACATCACTTACATTTATCTGGAGCATTGGTTTTATTATTGTATAAATCTTGTTTCATCTTCTCGAATAAAGCTTCATTCAGTAATGGAAAATGTTTTTGTTTGTTATGCTTAACCCTTTCACCACCGCAGACCATATTGACTCATCCCGATAACAGCATGGTAGAGTCCACAAAAGTTACCTAGGGGTAAAAGGGTTAATAGTCCCACATCAGCTATGGCCCAGTTGTTCAAAAGGGGATAAGCTTAATCAATATATTTTTTAGCCACTAATAATTTGGTCGTTGGAAATAAGTTAAGAGTCACACTTGGCACTTTTTTTTTATATAAAAACTCATAATTTTGCATGTTTTTTTACTGTACTAAAATATTTGCTATCTGGAAAGTTTTAAATCAGTTGATGGTTTTGTTTTAAAGAAAACAAAATTTGTGCTGATCACTGACTAAGCTCTTCGGCTTTTAAACTAGTGTGCCCAGAACTACTAGAGGAGACTATTGGTTTGCAATCTGTCCTTCAGTCGGACAGCATGTCACATTTTCACAGGCATACCTCGTATACCATTATCGTCTACAACATCCTCAATATTCTAGGGGTTCAGATTACTTACGCTGTGTAGAGATCATAAGTGTAACACCTGGAGTATCGAGGATGATTCAACAATTACCGTACTGTCAATGGACTTCATTGGAAATAAATATCTGGACTTTCAAGAGTCTCCCTTGGGAAGTTATCTGCCACCATGTGTCTTGTCCCATAATATACAGAGTTATGACCCCTTGTGTACCTTAAACAGTTTGCCTGGGACCTATCCCACTCTTTGTCACCTACAATGTGTATTGACAAATTTGTACGAGAGTGTCAATGGGATGGAGGAATATTTTATACTGAAATTGGGTCCCAATCCATGCCCCCCTATATTCACAATAATGGCAATTTTTTCAATCTTCATTATATGGTTCCAGGTATATCTCATATATCCTTGTCAATTGATTATTTGTATGTGAATTTGAATGGCAGAGTATGACATACAGATATTGAGTCTGGTGCCTAATTTATAGAGTTGTGGCCCTTTGTTAAGTTTTCTTTCCAAAGTTTGTCAAAACATAAGGAACTACATGTATTGATCCCTCAGAATGTTTTGTATTGTTCGGTAAAAAGCTGAAACCATACTGAATCTTAAATCTTATAAGAAACAAAGAACAAAAACATATTTGATTGCTTGTATGATTATAATTCTATAAAAACAAATTACTTAGAAATCAATAGGAACTGTTATATTAATTTACTACTTTGGCACAAAATGAATGGGTAGCAAGAATATAAATAACATTGACATGCATGTAAACATGATGAAGGCAACCTGTCTATAAAATCCACTTGTTAAATAGATACCTCTCTATAAAGACCACCAATCAATAAAAACATGTCTATATAGGCACATGTCTATGAAATGACTATGTATTAAAATATCTGCCATAGATACCACCTGTCAAAATAGATTACTTCTCTATACAGGCCATCTGTATGTAAAAATATCACTATCAAAATAGACCACCACTCTATACAGAACGTCTGTAAGTAAAAATCACTGTCAAACTAGACCACCTCTCTATACAGACCATCTGTATGTAAAAATCACTATCAAACTAGACCACCTCTCTATACAGACTGTCTGTAAGTAAAAATCACTGTCAAACTAGACCATCTCTATACAGACCATCTGTATGTAAAAATCACTGTCAAACTATAGACCACCTCTATACAGATCATCTGTATGTAAAAATCACTGTCAAACTAGACCACCTCTCTATACAGACTATCTGTATGTAAAAATCACTGTCAAACTAGACCACATCTCTATACAGACTGACTGTATGTAAAAATCACTGTCAAACTATAGACCACCTCCCTATACAGACCGTCTGTATGTAAAAATCACTGCCAAACTAGACGACCTCTCTATACAGACTGTCTGTATGTAAAAATCCCTGTCAAACTAGACCCCCTCTCTATACAGATTGTCTGTATGTAAAAATCACTGTCAAACTAGACCACCTCCCTATACAGACCATCTGTATGTAAAAATCACTATCAAAATAGACCACCTCTCTATACAGACTGTCTGTATGTGAAAATCACTGTCAAACTAGACCACCTCTCTATACAGATTGTCTGTATGTAAAAATCACTGTCAAACTAGACCACCTCCCTATACAGACCATCTGTATGTAAAAATCACTGTCAATCTATAGACCACCTCTATACAGATCATCTGTATGTAAAAATCACTGTCAAACTAGACCACATCTCTATACAGACTGACTGTATGTAAAAATCACTGTCAAACTAGACCATCTCCATACAGACTGTCTGTATGTAAAAATCACTGTCAGACTAGACCATCTCTATACAGACCGTCTGTATGTAAAAATCTCTGTCAAACTAGACCATCTCTATACAGACCGTCTGTGTGTAAAAATCACTGTCAAACTAGACCACCTCTCTATACATACTGTCTGTATGTAAAAATCCCTGTCAAACTAGACCACCTCTCTATACAGACAGTCTGTATGTAAAAATCACTGTCAAACTAGCCCACCTCTCTATACAGACCATCTGTATGTAAAAATCACTATCAAAATAGACCACCTCTCTATACAGACTGTCTGTATGAAAAAATCACTGTCAAACTAGACCACCTCTCTCTATACAGACCGTCTGTAAGTAAAAATCACTGTCAAACTAGACCACCTGTCTATAAAGACCACATTTCATTTCATTTTTTATTCAAAAACATTGTATTGTTCATAACTAATCGACAGGACAACAGGCAAATCTATAAAGTCGTTACCAAATATTATAAAGACGCCCTTTGTTAACAGACCATGCACTTGGCTTAAACCAGTAACTTCCTGTAGAAAACCTAAAATTCTGGGGTTTTTTAGGCTCATTGCTTCCTCTCCCTTTAGACAGTCTTTTTTTTTTTTATATGTATACTATAATTGCACCTACTCAAGAACCCTTTCCTCATGCCAACATGCCTAAAATTGTGTAAAAAAACTCATTTTGATCAAAAATTACTTACGATAAAATAAAAACACAACATAACCCTTTTCAACGAGATTTCCACCGATTCAAAATGAAGTGCAGACATCTGCGAAGCACATGCATTGACGAAGCTACCAAATGGATTGAATTAATTAAAGATCATGATTTTGTTCATATAGTATACAATTAATTATATAAGCAGCAAACATTCTTGTCTTATTATCACCTGCTCAAAAAGTAATATCAAAGGTCAGATCACTGCTCTTGTCAAACTGTTAATAAATGTTCTGATAATATACTTTGTTTGATGATTCAGTAACAGTCTGTACAGGAACTGGTCTGGGTCGAATATCGGCGACCAGGTAAGCTCAATTTGTGAAGTGTGGATGATCCATCTAGAGTTCGGAGGGCCCCAGGTTTTAACCCTGGTCTGGCCATTGTATTTCTCTTTCTCCTGCTACAAGTCTTTACATTCATACAGCAGCATGACAAAACTGAGGTCAAAGTTCACATCACTGTTTTCAATATGACGGTATAAAATTTACACTGCACAGCAGTCGTAGTAAAATTTACAGTGGGGACTCGCAGTCCAAGGGCAACCTATGTTCTGGATCTTATCTAACTTTCGATTCCTCCAATTCCTTCAGATGTAAAAAATCTGTCAGCTGGGAAGGTAATTGCAGATTTCCTGTAGAGTTACAAACAGGTTTCTTTAATACTGAACGAATTGCAATACGACAACAATTCTTAAGCGAAAATGGATTACGAGCTAACGTCACTAAGTATAACATATCCTCAGCACTAAAGTAGGACTTCTGGGTCGACATCTCTTTCAAATTCGACAAATTGTGGTCCGAAACAACTGCACCTGCCATTATAAACAGATTCATCATCCAGACATTGGGATAAGGTTGAAGAGCTATTCTAAAGGGAGTTAATCCATTCTTTGTTTTCTTGTTGACATTACAACCAGCCTGCAAATTGAAATAAAGGTTTTTTCTTATGAGGCGAAAAAAATATAGAACAGCAATTGAGTGAAAGGCGTACTTAGATACCCAAGCTTCTCCATAAGCAGACTGAAATATTTAACAAGGCACATGCTTTACAATTAGTCTTGCAGTCATTTTCATATGATTACTTATAATGTCTAGGTTTCAACATTCAAACATAATATAATCAATAAGATATGGGAAGATAATAATGTATGAAAGACGAGGTGTTACGACACTGATTTTTTTTTGTTTCGTTCAAGTTTGAATAATTTAGCCCTTTCACCCCTATGTAACTTTAGTAGACTCTACCATGCATTGATCTAGATGAGTCCATTATGGTCTAAGGTGGTGAAAGGGTAAAGAAATATGTCCTTTTTGCCAAGTTATTTTGTGATATTGGAATTGTTCAATTTGGGATATACCAAGAATGTTGCTCCCTTGCCACAAGTCTTATAATAGATGTGAGGTAAATGATGAACAAAGTCTGTAAAAGAATGAAATACGTATGTGCTGTCCTTCGAAAATATCACAAGAGCAGTTTGCTTGATAAACATTTACAAATGGCAGCTGTGTGGCAGGGTTCAATTGTACATAGGATAAAGGTCGCCTTCTAGCTTCGAGCTAGGGGGAATTTCCCTTTAGCTCAGTGGTAGAGCGTCCGACTAGGAACCTGGAGATCGAGGGTTCGATCCCCAGTGGAAGCACACTACTCTCTTTCCTGTTACAAATGGTGTCCGTGGCCCTCTCTGTAGTGACAGGGAGTTAGAACCTGGGTTGTGGTGTTCGAGGGCGAACACATCTAAAAAAGGGGGAAGTAGTGTGGCAGGGTTCAATTGTACATAGGATTAAGGTTGCCTTCTAGCTTCGAGCTAGGGGGAATTTCCCTTTAGCGTGGTAGAGCGAACCATGAGATTGAGGGTTCGATCCCCGGTGGAAGCACACTATTCTCTTTACTGTTACAGCTGTATCAACGTTTTACTTCAATAAATCCACAGACAACGTAAATATCGAATGTATCACTTTAGACACAATCTTGTCCTTGACCTACGCTCCGCACACTTCTTACACTCTGCTGACGTAGTAGAGTGTAGTTTACGGAACGGAGCGGAGATCAAGATATGATTTTAATCAGATTGAATACCATCATATAATTCTGTAACTCATCTCTGTACATATGTTACCTATACAAAAATAAATATCTTTATTAGCTATAGGGCCTTACCTGTACAAGCGAGTAGACAAGCTCCAGGTTGTGGAAGTGAGTGGCCATTATAAGGGGTGTGGCTCCGTAGTGATCACCATGGTCAAGGTCCGCCCCTGCGTCAATCAGCAGTCGGGCTATCTCGGTCTTGTTCAGTTCAACAGCTTTTAAAAGGGGACTTTTCATCTCATCATTTTCTATACTGATCTTGTTCACATCACAGTTATGGGAGATAAGGATTTTAGCAGCCTGAAAATGAAATAAAATCCCTCACATGCATGTATTTGATTGTTTTCACAACAAAAAATAATTTGCAAAACCCTCCATTAAATGACATTAATAATTCATATTGTGTTTAGTGTACCAGTATATATGTATTGTTTGACTTTTAACTTATAATGATTTTTTTATATATTTGATAAACCTGACCCTTTTAACGTAGGTCAAGGTCATTTAAGGGAAAATGTCATGATAACCCTCATCCTGACACCAGTTTTTTATGATTCTCATAAAGGAAATGTTTGAAATTTACCCATGATCTTAAAGATCAAGATCAGGGCCATTTCCTGTACAATCTTGATAGCTTTTAAACCCTGCATACTACATGAAAGAAATTATGACCTAAGACTTATTGTTCCTAAAAAGAAGTTTTGTAAAGTAAAAAAGTTCGCAATGGACATAAATATGCCACACCGGAACATAGGCCAACAGTGAACTACTGGTTTATAAGCATGTTGTACTTTGACAGATCCACTGATACTGGCAATGTGGATCGCTGTCCGATCATTCTCCTGTATAGCTGTATCCACATCCACTCCGGAGTTGATCAGGAGATCTATGATGTCGGCTCTGTCACTGGCCGTGGCTAAATGTATAGCACTGGGTCCCACGCCACCCTTCACAGCAAACAGGTCTGCTCCGGCCTTTATCAGTTCCTGAAACAGAGGTTACTTCATACCACTGTATCAAAATAAGGGGATTCATGGAAGGCACTTCAAGAGGACCTTGGGGCCTGTATCACTAACCTGTTAAATTAAATATAGTGTTGGTACAAAATATACCTAAAAGGTTAACTGCTATTCTAATTTATTTGAGATGTAACACAGCATTTGATTGGGCAATCAAATTATCCACAAATATATCCATTTACAGGCTCCGCTTTGGGATATACTGTCGCAGATTTCATAACACATAATTAGCTATGGGCCATCTCCTAATTATCAGTTAGTGAGATGAAACCTTCAGGTCAAGTGTACCTTGAATACATGTAGATTGACTTTTTTAAGAAATTCTATATGTAGATGTGTTTCCTTCCCATTAGAATTGTCATACATATATTTATTACTATACCCTCGAAGTATCTAGATTCAACCTTAAGGAGATCATATGTATATAGATGTCTCCTTCCTATTAGAACGGTCAAACCTTTTGATAGTATACCTTGGCAATATCCAGATGCCCCTTTAAGGAGGCCATTGTAGGTTTGTTTCCTTACCATTCGTGTGGTTATACCTTGGCAATATCCAGATGCCCTTTTAAGGATGTGTCTCCTTTCCATTAGTGCGGTTATACCTTGGTAATACCCAGATGCCCCTTTAAGGAGGCCATTGTAGGTTTGTTTCCTTACCATTAGTGTGGTTATACCTTGGCAATATCCAGATGCCCCTTTAAGGAGGCCATTGTAGGTTTGTTTCCTTACCATTAGTGTGGTTATACCTTGGCAATATCCAGATGCCCCTTTAAGGAGGCCATATGAAGAGGTGTCTCCTTTCCATTAGTGCGGTCATTGACATCACAGCCAGGCAGACTCATCAGGTACTTCACAATGTCCAGGTGACCATTCAGACAGGCCTCGTGGAAGGGGGTGTTACCTTAAATTATACAGAACAAAATGAAGGATGTTTAATTTTCTTTGAAACTTTTACAGCTTTTTACTTTCTTCTTTACAGTGTCTGATTCAAAATTGTAGTATTGATCTATAATGTCGCCCAGCAATGAAATAATCAATGAAATCTGATAATTTACAAAGGCATATTCCATCTTTGCCTATTGCAGAGTTATCTTCTCTTGAGAACAGGTATTGATTGTTACGTCATTGGTTTGTGTGAGAAAATTACGTCGTTTTCTCAAAAATTGATGACGTTACTCTCACAAACAAATGACATAACAATCAATACCTGCTAACAAGAGCAGATAACTCTGCAATACGAAAAGACGGAATACCAATACGGATAAAACAGTTGTTGACTGATTTTCCTTGGCTGCCAACATAACTATCCTTAAAGCTACTTTAACGTCACCCTTTCAAAATCTGTTCAATGGACCAATCCCCACCTGAAAACTGTCACTTTTAACCCTCGTATACTAGTATTTTGTGATAAATTTCAAATTTGTTATAAAAAATAAAATACTATTGCCTGCTTGGATAATTCATGAATCTCATGAAGTATAGTATATTATAGTAATAAAACACTTCTTTAAGTTCTATAATGCATTCCGCTTCATTTGAAAATTACTATTTTTTCTGGTTTTGTCATTGATGCATGATTATCTCAGTCTGGGTGGTCCCTGCATGTCCATTTCCAAACTATTTCATAAACCCTTTCTAGCACAGAGCCTGCTTCACATAAAGTTTTACCTGGGCCCATATTCATGTAACCGTTCTCATGTTCAAGCATCGAATCTGTGCTCAACCCAACTTTTTTGTAACTCGATAAAAACATGTCAAAAGACCAAAACATCACATGTAAACATTGAAAACAGTATTTGGCTTTGAGTCGCTTTAAACTTTTTCCCAAGTCATTGACAAAATAAATTTAAGATTTGTTTATGAATTTATAACCAGAACAAGAAATTAGGTTTGAGCACAAAGTACATGCTCCAGCATGAGCACGGTTTCATAAATATGGGCCATGAGTGGAGCCATTACTGTTACATTAATTTTTTCACGAAGAATATCATTGTTGTAAATATTTATATGAGAAATTAAATTGAGCTCAGCCTGAGACAGGCTTAAAACTTTGGTGAATGATATAATGATCCTTTTTTGCCCTCAACATATTTTATTTATCAACTTGTACTTAGTAAGGCATGGTTCGGTCACCCAAAAGAATGAACATTAATAAACTCTCTAGTATTGGAAACAAAATTTCTAGGAATTGGGCGTATCATCCTACTGCAGAGGTACCCTATTTTATAACATTACACAGATACAGACCTAAGGTTGTAGAAGAGAAATCAACAGACAAGGTTAATTGCATGAAATCGTTGTCACTATTTTACAAAGTGTTCTACAGACGTCGCATTAAAACCTACAGAGGTAAACACCATATTCAGCACCACTTTCACAATGATGTCATTCCTATAGGAGTTCTAGTGAAGATTTGACCCCCTTACCATACCAGAATCTACAACTACTCTACTTAAAGATAGAAAATATCATGATGCAATTCCCTCTGAACAACACTTTCAGGAGCTATCCCAGTATGACAGGGATCCATGTCATAGGGAAATGGTGACCATATGGCCACTCTAAGAGAGGACCTTTCCTTCATCTAGGCCTTGGACTCAAAAACTTTTATTATCTCTTTATAATGTTCAGTCTATATTAGTAGGTTATTTCCATCATTCAAGATGACCTCAACCTAGCTTTACAATGATTATTAAAATCCGTTATTATAAGACCCGTATATCTACCTGCTGGATGAAACTGATCTGCACTACAACCTATCAATGGACTATTCAGTATGTAAAGAGTTGGCATTCTTTAACTATTATTATGTCCCACTAAACAACATTTTTATTGATGTCCTTTTAGATATGTATTGATATTGGCTTAACAGAGTTATCTATCTTGTACTAACTATTGTTGACGTCACAATACTACCTATTGTTTATGACGTCACAATCTCTGCCATTGCTAATGATGTCACATATATAAAAGCAGAACAATTGTATGTGTCCACATTTTTAGTACTTCAGCGATAGAAATATCCTATAAATTTGTCCTGAAGAAGCCCACTGTAGGAGCGAAACCGGTCGACACTTCTAATAAACTACAAGAATAACTTATTGCTCCTTCGCCTGTTGTGATTGAACCTATTTTATTATCTTGTACTTAGAAGGTACTCACCTGCTGCATTTCTAAGTGACAGATTTGCTCCAGACTTGACAAGAAGTTTGACAAGATCAAGATGCCCACATCTTGCCGCTAAGAATACTGGAGACTTCAAGATGGCCGCCCCTACATTGATGTCACATCCATGTTTAATCAACAGCTCTGTGATGGCACAGCTCCCACCCTCAGCAGCAGTACCTGAAATGAGATCAAGTAAAGCAGTTCAAACATTACAAACTGGAAATGTTCATCTTTTCATAAAACCGTTTAAAATATGGAAATAGTTTTGTCTTTTGTGTAAAATCAGAACAGGATGTATGACCATAAAAAAGACCTTGACCTTTTGGATATCTACAAGATTTTGATTTATCTAACCCATATGACCTTGAAAGTGGGTCAAGGACATTCATTTGAATAAACTGAATAATGATTCACCCCAGTATGCTACAGGCCAACTATCTTGACCCTAGACCTTAATTTATTCATCATTAAATGTTTTGTACATGTTACCCCATATGACCTTAAAATGAGTCACAATCATTCTTTTGAACAAACTTGATGGCCTTCTAACTGAGCATGGTACAGGCCAAATACCATGAACGTAAGCTTACTGGTTATTTACACCCTATGACCTTGAATGAGTCAGAGTCATTCATCTGGAAATGTTGGTAGTCCTCCAACCAAGTAACTACTGGATAATGTAATAAGTCCATGCTTCTTGATGATTCAGACAAAGTTTTTTTTTTTTTTTTTACATATTAACCCTATGACCTTGTCTACTTATTGGAACAAAGTTAGTAACCTTTCGATTCAGCAATGTTACTGGCTAAATATTGACTCCAGGCCTCTTGGTTATTCAATTTAAGAAGATTTAAAGAAGTTTGCCCCTATGACGTTGAAAGTTGGTCAAGGTCATGCATATGAACAAACTTAAGTTTGATGACTCTTCATCCCAGCATTCTTTATGCCAATTATCAGTTAACTAGGTTAATTATTCATAAAAAAATAAATAAAAAAAAGGATTTCAAAGCAGTCATTTTACTTTGAAAGAACATTTGTATGTCAAGGTCATTAATCTTAAAAAAATTGGATATTCCTTCACCCCAGCATGCTACAGCACAAATATCAGGACCCTGGAGTTTTCATGCCTTTTGGATATACAGAAGCACTTTATAGATTGGAATTAAGCATTTTTGCTGACTTTGACTCAATTACAATAAATATATATATACATATAATGATTCGAAGTTCTTATATACCGCTTCATCACAACCTAGTTCGTAGTGCGTCTCAAAGCAGTTCACAAATTATTATCTGTGGTTATAGGGCCTTTGCAACCAGCCAATATCTTTCTCAACTCCCTTGGGACAATACAGCCAGTGCTGCAATTCAGTCACTCACAGCTAGCAATCAACAATTCTAGCACTGACCATCCACATACTCATTAACAGCAGAGTAGACTAGAACAAGCGGAGTGAAGTACCTTGCTCAAAGATAAAACAGTGCCGTGCAGTGACTTGTACCCGCAACCCTTCGATCACCAGTCGAGTGACCTACCACTAGACTATACTGTGACTCCATAATTGACACCGATATCAAAATCAAGTCAATAACAACATTCCGATCAGGGGAGGTAAGTTCTGGCAGTGTTTTTTCAAGGTAATACCTACCTAGAGCTGATTTATTATCCACTGTATAGCTAGCATCTGCTCTCTGTGCTTCATTTTGTAAAATGATGTCAACAGCTGTTAAATTGTTGTCTTTTATTGCCTGATGAAGCTTCCTTGCCAAGTCTTCTGACATCAAAGACGTTGATTACAACCTTAAATAAAACCTGAATTGTTTCAAACTGGGGAGTGAAATATGTTACCGACTCTGATCAGGTGATCATCATAGGTATTTGACAAGAGGTACACGTTCCAGTGGAAGCATACTACTCTCTGTTTCAATTGGTGTGTGCAGCTCTCCCTGCGGTGACAGGGAGTTAGAACCAGTAGGTTGTGTGTGAATTGTGGTGCTTGAGGGCGAACATATTTAAAAAGGGGAGAGTGGTGTGGCATATTCTAAATGTACATTATATTATATAAGGATTACAGTCACCTGCTAGCTTTGAGCTAGAGGGAAATTCCCATTAGCTCATTCGGTGCATGGACTTGGAAGCTGGGGGTCGCAGGTTCAATCCCAAGGTCAGAAAGCACATTAACTCTCTTTCCTGCTACAAAAGTCAAATTTACCTCCAGAAGATGGAAAAGTTTTACTATGATCATAATATGAATTCCAACAAAGTTTGAACAATAACCCACTGCATGATAATCAACAAAATATATCCAAGTGTCAGTTCCTTATATAAACCATAGTACAATATAATTAACATGTTACCCCTTGCCAAAGGGAGGTTTGTTTGTTGGTGTTTTACGTCCTATTAACAGCTAATGTCATTTAAGGAGGTGTCAGGTTTTGGTGGTGGAGGAAAGCGGGAGTTCCCGGAGAAAAACCACCAACCAGTACGGCCAGTACCTGGCAACTGCCCCATGTAGGGCTAGTGGTAGCAGAATGTCAGACACCTTAACCACTTGGCCACCACGGCCTCCATAAGGGAGGAATAGGTGACCTGAGGGTAATGAAATTCACAATTTTGATAAAGCACCTTAATAAGGACCTTTCTATCTACAATAAGGATTTGATTATAACATTTCAGGATTTGAGGAAGAAAGTATTTGAAATTTTAGCCAATTTGATCTCTTTTAGTTCTGTCCCTACGCCGCTTTAGGGGGGTCACCACAACCCCATCTTGAGTAATGTATCCTAAAGATTCTGATCCCCATCCCAGGTTGATGATAACAAGCGATCAGTTTCAAACACTGACAAATTAAGTTCCTAGAGTTCCAAGTCAAAACTTTGATTGCATTTGTTTGTTGTTTTGCAATAAATGATCACCTATGGGGGAGGGGGGCACACCCTTCTTGGTTATAAATTCTGATCCTCCTTATCTAAGGATCATTATTAATAATTAAGAAATGTTGGTGAAAAGGTACCCATGAAGAAGCTGTCTTTTGAAGGTTTTGCACTAAGTGACCCCCTATAAGTCAACCATAGGGGGTCCACTTGTATAAAACATCTCAAAGTTTAAGGAAAATCTCAAGCAATCTTAGACTTGAGAGTTGAGATGTTTTATACAAGTGGGCCCTGACCCTCAATCTGAGGATCGATAGATTCTGAGCCTAATCATCAATGCATCATGAAAATCCACCGAGTTAGTAGCCTATATAAGGGGGGGTGGGGGTG